GGCTGGTGAGCGGGAACAGCAAGAGCTCTGTGCACTGAGGCTTGCTGGGAGCCTTACTGGCCTGTTCTTTGTAATCCCATAACTTTGTGTGTTTCAGCTTCCCCTGCCCCCAGATATTGCAGCCATACATTTGTACTTCTGTATCTAAGTGAAGACCATCCACTTATCTTTTTTGTTGTGCACATTCACTGTTTATTTCATTTCTAGAAAACTTTTCTCTCTGAGTAAATTTTATTTGTAGATTTTTCTTCTTCAGTGACATCTGTTTGATCCCATCTCTACAAAAAATACAAAAATTAGCATCGTGGTGCATGCCTGTAGTTGGTAGCCTGAGGTGGGAGGATCAGTCAAGCCTGGGAGGTTGAGGCTGCAGTGAGCTGTGATCATGCCATTGCATTGCAGCCTGGGTGACAGAGAGAGACCCTGTCTCAAAGAAAGAAAAAAAAAAGATCTCTGTTTGAAGTTCATAGAGACTATTTTTTTTGGCATCTTATTCCTAATAATTTCAATGGAAACAATAGGTAATAATTTATATTTCAATAAATCTCATTTCCTGTTGATTTTCCTTATGATATCCAAAATGGAATCTTAAGGTAATCACGTTGTATTAGTCCATTTACACACTGCTGTAAAGAACTACCTGAGACTGGGTAATTTAGAAAGAAAAGAGGTTTGACTCACAGTTCCACGTGGCTGGGGAGGCCTCAGGAAACTTATAATCATGTCAGGAGGCAAGGGGAAAGCAAGGCATATCTTAACATGGTGGCAGGAGAGAGAGAGAACAGGGAGGTGCCACACACTTTTAAATGATCAGATCTTGTGAGAACTCACTATCACGAGAACAGCAAGGAGGAAATCCGCTTCCATGATCCAGTCATGTCCCACCAGGTCCCTCCCCTGATGTGTGGGGATTACAGTTTGACATGAAATTTGGGTGGGGACACAGAGACAAACCACATCATTCTGCTCTTGGCCTCTCCCAAATGTAATGTCCTTCTCACATGTCAAAACCAGTCATGCCTTCCCAACAATTCCCCAAAATCTTATTCCAGCATTAACTCAAAAGTCAAGTCCAAAGTCTAATCTGAGACAAGGTAAGTCCCTTCTGCCTATGAGCCTGTAATATCAAAAATAAGTTAGTTACTTTCAAGATACAATGGAGGTGCAGGCATTGGGTAAATGCACAAAAGGGAAAAATTGGCCAAAACGAAGGGCTACAGTCTGAAACCCAGCAGGGCAGTCATTAAATCCTAAAGTTCCAGAATAATCCCTTTACATGCCATGTCTCATATCCAGGGCATGCTGATGCAAGAGGTAGGCTTCCAAGGCATTGGGCATCTCCATGGACCTTGTGGCTCTGCAGGGTACAGCCCCATTCGGCTTCTTTCACAGGCTGGCATTCAGTGCCTGTGGCTTCTTCAGATGCGTGGTGCAAGTTGGTGGTGGATCTACCATTCTGGGGTCTGGAGGACAGTGGCCCTCTTCTCACAGCTCCACTAGGCAGTATTCCAGTGGGGACTCTTATGTGGGGGCTGCAACCCCACATTTCCCCTTCATGCTGCCCTAGCAGAGGTTCTTCTTGAGGGCTCTACCCTTGCAGCAGATTTCTGCCTGGACGTCCAGGCATTTCCATACCTCCTCTGAAATTGAGGCAGAGGCTCCCAAACTCCTGCCTTCTGTGTACCTGCAGGCCCAATACCATGTAGAAGCCACCAAGACTTGGGCTTTGCACCCTCTGAAGTCATGGCTGGAGCTATACCTTGGCCCCATTTAGCCACTGCTGGAGGTGGAGTGGCTGGGACACAGGGCACCATGTCCAGAGGTGCACAGTGAAGCAGGACCCTGGGCCTGGCTGAGGAAACCATTTTTCCCTCCTAGGCCTCTGGACCTGTGATGGGAGGGGCTGCCATGAAGGTCTCTGAAATGCCCTGGAGACATTTTCCCCATTGTCTTGGCAATTAACATTGGCTCTTCTTTCCTTATGCAAATTTCTGCAGCTGGCAGCTTGAATTTCTTCCCAGAAAGGGTTTTCTTTTCTACCATTTGGAGAGTCAGACTTCTAATTTTCAAACTTGTATGCTTTGCTTGCCTTTTAAACATAAGTTCTAATTTCAGATCATCTCTTTGTGAACACATATGACTGTATGCTGTTAGGACCACCCAGGCCACATGTTGAACCCTTTGCTCCTTAGAAATTTCTTCTGCCAGATATCCTAAATCATCTCCCTCAAGTTCAAGGTTTCACATATCTCTAGGGCAGGGGCAAAATGCCATCAGTCTCTTTGCTAAGGCAAAGCAAGAGTGACCTTTACTCCAATTTCCAATAAGTTCCTCATCTCCATTTGAGACTACGTCATCCTGGACTTCATTGTCCATATCACTGTCAGCATTTTGGTCAAAACCATTCAACGAGTCTCTAGGAAGTTCCAAACATTCCCACATCTCCCTGTCTTCTTCTGGACCCTCCAAACTATTCCAACCTCTGCCCATTACCCAATTCCAAAGATACTTCCATATTTTCAGGTATCTTTATAGCAGTAGCCCAATTCTCTGGTACCAATTCTCTGCGTTAGTCTGTTTTCACACTGCTATAAAGAACGACCTGAGACTACGTAATTTATAAAGAAAAGAGGTTTAGTTGACTCAGTTCTGTATGGCTGGGGAGGCCTCAGGAAACTTACAGTCATGGCAGAAATGGAAGCAAGGCACATCTTATGTGGCAGCAAAGCAAGGCATCTCTTACATGGCGGCAGGACAGAGAGAAAGGGGAGGTGCCACACACTTTTAAATGATCAGATCTCATGAGAACTCACTATCATGAGAACACCAAGAGGAAAATCTGCCCCGATGATCCAGTCATCTCCCACCGGGTCCCTCCCCTGACACATGGGGATTACAGTTTGACATGAGACTTGTGTGGGGACACAGAGCCACACCATATCACACCTTTAGGACATGCGGGTGGTGTGTGGAGCAAATAGCATCTGAAGGTAGTGATGACAGATTAAGGGAAGGGGTGAGCAGTCCATGGAGGGGTGAGGCACAGGCTTGTGCCTAGTGGTGTTGGGACAGGGCAGGCCTGGGAATGGTGAACGTAACAACTTGGCAGTGAGACATTAGCTCAAGCCCCAGCTTTGCTTCCTGGCCATTTGCGTGAGCCAAGTTCCCCAAGGTCATGAAGCTTCACTGTGTCTGTCCCATGGGGCACTGCTCAGAGTGAGGGATGTGGTAGGTGGGCATTGCACACACAGTGCTGGGCACATAGTGACTGCACCTGGTCTTTCCTCCAGAGTCCAGATGGGTCAGCCTCTAGAATTACATTCTTGAGACTTCTTGATAGGATCCTGCTACATGCTCTGTCATGCCATGGGCCCTGAGCATCAGACGTAATCCTTTACCTGATGTACATGCAAGTGTGCCAAAGCTGTCAGCATGACATGGGTTGTGTGATAGGTTTTTGTGCAGTGTGTGATGTGGAAAGCTGATACCTGATGCCGAGTGTTTTTGTTGTGATGGTTTCTTTGGCCTGGGTACTGCCATCATGCTCCTATCCCAGGACCTAATTCATAAACAGCTCTCCAGTCAGCTGTTGGAGGGCCTGTCCCCCTGTCTACAGATGCAGACCTCTGCCCAGACAGGGAGTTGAGGGTCTGGCCTATGGGAATAAAAGTGGGACCCCTTAGTCGCTGGTTAGTTTTCAGGGTCGTCTCTGCCCTTTGCCCCTTCTTGAGGCTGTGTTACACCCTGGAGACCCCCAGGCATTGCACCTGGCAATCACTGGGTTACCTCGAAGGGTTGATTGAATTGTATTCATTATCTTTGTCTCGGATCAGTGTCATCCTGCAGCCTCATTTCAGCTTTCAGGATTGCTTTATTTTTGTATTATATTTTTAACAATGCAAAGTATTCAAAAGCTAGCTCTACCCTGTGAGAGACCCTTCCCAGCCCTAGCAATGTGATGATAAACCCTGGGAAATGTTAATCAGTGAATATGAAGGGCCCTCGACACACGCCAGGTTGTCAGATGTTTTCTCCATTCTTTCTTCTTAGTAATGGATTTCATTGTATCCAATATGCTATTAATTATAAGATACTTTGATTTCAGAAATGAAAAAATTGTACAAAATCATTTGTTTACAGTCAACAAAATTATTTCTTCTCAGAAATCTACACTTGTAGAGGTTAGGGCAAAGGTCATTGTCTCCATGGAGGTGCTGACGCTTAAAGGTAGTGGCAGAGTTGTTCCAGGGGACCTTGGAGAGGCCCCCCTTCTAGGGGACCTCGTAACAGCCTTCTCAAAGGTCAGTCTCCTACGTGTTTTTGTTGTTGTTGCTGTTGTTTGTTTTTTTGAGATGGGGTCTTGCTCTGTTGCCCAGGCTGGAGTGCAGTGGTGAGATCACAGTTCTCTGCAGCCTTGACCTCCTGGGGCTCAAGTGATCCTCACACCTCAACTTCCTGAGTATCTGAAACTACAGGTTTGCACCACCATACTTGGCTAAGTTTTTGTATTTTTTATAGAGACGGGGGTGGGGGGTGTCTCACTTTGTTCCCCAGGCTGGTCTTGAACTCCTGGGCTCAAGTAATCCTCCTGCCTTGGCCTCCTAAAGTGCTGGGATTTCAGGTATAAGCCACCATGCCCAGCCCAATCTCCCAAGTTTTAAGGAGACCTAATTCTTAATTGTGAGGGAAGCTTCGTCTGATTTTAAGCATCATTTTCATAAGCTATTTAGGCAAAGTATAATTATTGACTAGTCTTTTACTAAATTTAGATTACTCAGCATCACTGATAAGCTGTTAAGCTGTTATGACCATAATACCAAAACAGCTGAGATGACTAGTAGCTAATGGGAGAAAACTGTGTACACACAGGTATGGAAACCTAAGATGTAAGTTCTGCCAATTCTTTTTTCTAAATTTCAACTCCATGGTTATTGGAGTAGAAAGCAGAGTTCTATTGATTCATAACATCACATTTGACATTTTTCTTAACCTTTTATTAGGTTCAGGGAGCAAGTTTCCGAGGTTGGAAAGAAGTGACTTCACTGTTTAATAAAGATGATGAGCAGCATCTCCTGGAAAGATGTAAATCTCCCAAGTCCAAAGGGTAAGTCACAATTGTGTAAGAAAATGATCATTTCAGGAGAGGGAGGAAGTCACTGAGGAGGTAGAAGTGAAAACTTGATGGCATAAATACAGTGTAACTGGACACGCTGTGGGGTGTGGCAAGTCCCTGTTTCCCTCCCCACTGCGTCTGTCCCTGTTGAGTGGCAGATGGTCATGGACTTCGTGATGTGTGCTTCGGAGTTAACATCCCCCTTGTGAATAAACAGAAATGGGCTGGGCACCGTGGCTCATGCCTGTAATCCCAGCACTTTGGGAGGCCAGTGCAGGCAGATCATAGGGTCAGGAGTTCGAGACCAGCCTGGCCAACATGGTGAAACCCCGTCTCTACTAAAAAAAAAACAAAAAACAAATTAGCTGGGCATGGTGGCATATGCCTATAATCCCAGCTACTTGGGAGGCTGAGGTGGGAGAATTGCTTGAACCTCTGGGAGGCTGAGGCAACAGAGCAAGACTCTGTCTCAAAAAAAAAAAAAAAAGAAATGCGTTGTTCGATGAAAAACAAACAAACTATACTTTGGATAAAAGGTCATGAGGGTCTCTGTTGGCATTTTGAAAGGTTATGGAAACGTGGAAAATAACTTAGAATTATAAATTGAACTTATTAGCCTTACAGCAGCCTGTAGCCACACTTAAGATTTTTAGTAGTTTCAGAAAAAAGCCAAATCAAAACAGCAACATCAAAAAACGACTGTTAAAAATGCAAAGGATTGACTGGTAAACTGTAAAAGATTTTAGAAAATTTAATAAATTTAAACTGACCTTGCGAATTTATCATCAGTGTTTCAGAATTTTAAAAGTGTAAAGTTGAAAATATAAGTTCAGTGACTACCCAATGATATTACCAATGGCATATTTACTCTTGTGTTATGGAAAGTTGTTTGATTAGAAGATGAATCCTGGTGAGTCGACAAGTACAGAGTTTGCTTTTGTTTGAGGACCGTGGGCCCCCGGTCTGCTTCTCGGCACTTTTGTGCACTGAGGACAGACACGTGGCCTGGCATGCTCTGATGGAGCTGTGACTTCACCAATCCTCATCTGTAGAAGACGGGTAAACTGGTTCACCTGCTGATGAACTGGTCAGGTGACCTGCTAATACATCAGCATCTGGAAGGAGAGGGCCTGGGCACTGGTGTTCTTACAAATGTTCCCAGGTGATGCTCACGGACAGTCAGGGTGAAGAGTAGTTGAAGATCTTTCTTCAGTAGCTGTCGCTCACTACCATTTCCTTTTTATAGTAGATGGTGTTCTGAATTCTTATTTTTGTTGAGTAAATTACCTACTAAATGCTTGACACAACCTTGCTATATTAATAATCCAATTGCAAACCTATTTGAAAAATTGAATAGATTTCCCTCCTTGTTTCTTAATCTAGACCCTGGATTCTCATAGATCTGATTTGCTCAAAATCTTGAGTACTACCTTCCTATTGCCTTGAGGATCTCTCTTGTGTGATAATACTTATTTCTTGTCAGAACTAGTTATTTGCTTATGTATTGCCAAGTGGTGTCCTAAAATATGGCTTTTACACACTTCATTAACAACATGTAGTGACTGATTTTTCCTTAACTTTAATATTTGAAACTTTTCATATAGACTTGTGTTAGTTTTCTAAACAATTTTTTTAAATTTTAAAGAATTTTATGTTTGTAAAATGGATACAGCTTGAGGCCCTAAGACCACTGGGTCACCAACACCTAACTCTTTCATCTCCTATAGAACTAACTTACGATTAAAAGAAGAGTTGAAGGCAGAGAAGAAATCTGGATTTTGGGACAATTTGGTTTTAAAACAGAATATACAGTTTAAAAAACCAGATGAAATTGAAGGTTGGGAGCCTCCAAAACTTGCTCTTGAAGACATATCGGCTGACCCTGAGGACACCATGGGTGGCCACCCATCCTGGTCAGGCTGGGAGGATGACGCCAAGGGCTCGACCAAGTATACCAGCCTGGCCAGCTCTGCAAACAGCTCCAGGTGGAGCCTGCGCTCGGCAGGGAGGCTGGTGAGCATCCGACGGCAGAGTAAAGGCCACCTGACGGACAGCCCGGAGGAGGTGGAGTGAGGGGGCTGCGTGGCAAGTGTGCCCCGGCGTGGTGGCCTTTTATTAGTATACCATGTAGTTGTTGAGTCTTTTCTGTTAGAAGGAATAGAGTCTACTTTTTGCCTATATTTCATATTTGGACCTCTGTTTCATTGTTTAATGAACTCTCACACACACTGTGACTCCTTGGTGAACACATGCAGGGATTGTACATTTGATTGCCTTATTGCAGAAATACCCATCAGTCCATGTTTTGCAGAAACTGGAGATGTGAATTTTTGATGCTGTCCCATAATACAGCAGTAATGATTTGCAGTTTGCCACAAATCATCTTCATGCTGCTCTCTGTCCTCGTTCTGTTTCAGGACTTCTATCCCTTTTTCTTGTGTGTAGCACATACAAATGCAGCAGTCATGCAGTTCTTTTCTTTTGCCAGAAAATTACAGTCAGGAGGTAAGATGAATCTTCCAAAGTTAGGTTAAATTTTGTTTAACTTGACAAATTAAACTTTGTTCTTATTAAACAAATATTTAAACAAATACTGGAAAAGCAAAGGTTATATTTGGGTGTAAAATGTCAGTATCTTAAAATGCATGTTCATCTTTTGCTGAGGGAGGAATAGCCTCTTGTGTGTGCACTGGATAGTAACCATGGTTCTTTTTTGGAATTTTATTTTTACCTCTTTTGAACTTCTAAATCGGTTCCTTTATTTTCTTAAAACATTTGCTCTCTCTTTTGTTTACAGATTAAAGAAGTATGATGATAATTTTATTTAGGAAACATTGTCTTGCTCATTATAGAGTGAAGACTGTGCATAAAATACTGAAGTGCCTCTTTTTATTAGGCTCATATGTTTGTTCTTGCAAAGCGAGATGCCGATTGTGATTGGTGTTAGATCTGTGAGAAGCTGTGTCTTCTCCACAAGAACCAACAGCCAGTTTGAGAGCATCTCGCGCTTTTTTCCTGTCTGCTTTACTGTCCTTGACAATGTGATCCTGCACAGTATCAGGTGCCAGTTATGTGTCCCTGGCAGGTTGGCACTTATCAGCAAGTCCTGCAGATATCTATCTTAGGTAAAAGTGGTTTGAAAGAAAAGGTATATTTTTCTTTTTTGTTTAAAAGCAAAATAAAACCTCCAGTTACACTGTGCATTCCCCTCACATACAAACAAGACACAAACCCTTTCCTGAGTTGCTCGGCATGCACTTGTGTGCTGTTTCATGCGTGTGGATGTTCCTTCCACTTGCTCCTGTGGAATAACTGAGTGTGCCTGATGACAGAACACACTGCAGTGTTACCAGCGTCTGCATGTTTTTTTAATAGAACAGGTTTACTTGATCTGTCATCTGTTATGGGAAAGACAGCAATTACTTTTGCATCAACCTAATACATCCATTCATCTAGCTAAATCTATAATCTGTATCAATCGCTTATACCTATCAATCATCTGTATCTATTCACCTACCCTCTGTCTGTCATCTCTCAGTCTGCATCCATCTAGCCTTCTGTCAATCATCTACTTTTTTTAATAGAATAAGAAGTTTACTTATCAAGTCTTGAAAGGGGGACATGCTTCAAGTGGTGTTCAAACAAAAATTCCAGTTTGTATTAGAACCTTGAAATGGTGAAGTTGTGGAGGTTTTCTTTGTTCCATAATACAGAGACCAGTTCATAATTTTTAATGTAACAAGTTGACAAATCATAAGTTTCCTCAGGTAAACAGTCGTAACTGTCTTTCTCCCTAGAGAAGTGCTTGCTGGGATAGTAAAAACATTCACCATTTCATGACTTCTGCAAATACTTTCAAGCGGAAGTCAGTGTAGGCTTGTTTTTGGCTAACATGGTCTTGCTGCGCAGGAATGTAAACACTGTGTTTGAAACTCTGGAAATCACACGTGTGTGGGGAGATGGGGACGCTGCCCACGTAGTGGGGAGCTCTGTGGTGTGATGGCAGCGGTTGCTGTGCCTCTGTTGGAACGCTAAGTGCCTGCAACTCACATCAATCATAGAATTGTGACGCACAGTTGGCAAAATAGTTCTTTATGCTATTTCTCAAAATTTGAGGACAAACTCAGATTGGGATTGGAATGTGCACTGTAAATCAGATTTTTCTTATCTACAAAGACTAATGTAAAAATGATTTTTTCTTCTGTGCCTGATTAAATTAACTGTGGTTTTTAATATAAATATTTATTGGTGTGCTTTGGGAGAAAAAATATCTTTTTTTGAAAGAACTTACCAAAGCAAATTTGTTATCTTCACAAGTTAATGGGAGAATGTGGTTTTTATTCTGGGTGTTTGAATTGTGTAAACACACAGCTTCCCTGTGTGGAGACAGTTGTCCTGTGCTCCTTCTACTGTACTTTTTTAATTTTTTAATAGGAAAGTGATGGGTTTCAGAGAAGGGTTCCTCCTTAGTGTTGAGGCTTTTTAAAAATAAAAATATTGTTTCTAAGCTCTTTCATTATTGGTTTGCATGATTACTGGCATCTGCTTACGATGGCTTTAATCACTCAGAGCTAATGGCACCTTTCCTATTTAGCCTCATTTTAGAATGCAGTAAACACATGTGGACTTTTCACGAATAAATGAGCAACTTCAACCTTGGTTTTCAAGATGTGTCTTTTGCGTATTTGAATGGCCTGTGTGTGACTGAGTCCCCGGTGCAGGGCCCTCCACTCTGGAGGGCAACAGTGTGGCGGGGCACCTGGCTGCTGTTTTTGGTTCTTTATTTCATGAGTTCTGTCCTTAAGCAAGATTTTACTCCTCCGAGTGGAGAAACATGAACATAGTAGCAACAATTCTTTCTATTTATCTTTAGGAAAATGACCATCTCTTAGGAACAAATCTTTTAGAAAGCAGCGGCCTGTTCTAGAGAATGCTGCTCACTTCCCGTGGGAGCGGGACCCTGGAGCCCGCAGTGCCTTTGAGGCCGTTTTTTGGGTGCAGATGCTTTGCAGGGAGGCGCAGGGCCGTGTGGGATCCCTCTTCTCAGACCTGCATCCTGAGCAGGTGGACTCCCCGGCCTTCCTCGCTGACCTCATGGGTGAGTGTGGACTGCACTGTCACCTACTCCACCCTCGCCGGGGAGCATGGATGGCATGGGTGCCCACTCTGCCCCCCCAGCCTTGCCTGGTGCCCTCAGAGCCTAAGCCTGAGCTTCTCACCCACACCTGCCATGTAATTCCGATCGTCCTCTGGCTGTCTCACAGGTGAGGGAACAATTCTGCCCTCTCTTACTCTCCCAGTTTAGTTTTAGCCATGAATGCGCTTTGAGTTTTTTTTGGTCATTCTTCAGTTGATATTTGCTTGATCAACCAAAAGACCAGCCAGCAGGGCACACTTGAGTCAGCTCTGAAGAGATCAGTTGGCTAAGGTGACTTTTCCAGATCAACATTTACTTGATCATTTTCAAAAAACAAAAAAAACCCTCAACTGCAGAGTGCACTCTAGTCTGGGTGACAGAGTGAGGCCCTGTAAAAACAACAAAAAAATGCTTGGAGTAGTCCAAAGGTTGTTTAAACAGTGCTGAATGACTGAGATAGCTTGCTGCTGCTGTTTTTTTCCTTCTGGTAAAAAACCAGTTTTAGCCCAGCTGATGAGGTAGGAATGCACTGTGAGCGGCCTCGGCCTCGGCCTCGGCGGAAACGGAGTGGCCCTCCTCATCCAGGTGCTGTGTTGCTTGGTAGAAGTGTCTCTGCCTGGGGCTGCGACTTGCGACGTGAACTCTCTGACCCAGCACCCGCCAGAACCAACATCTGGGGATTTAAACTGCAGCAACAAGTGATTCCCCTCTTGGCCTGCGGTTCTGTCATCCCAAAATTGTTCATAGTGGTGGATATAAGACATCAAAACGAGGGCTGAATCAGATGAAATTATGCTCAATTCAGCCTCAGATTTAAGTGATTTATTGTTTTGTAGTTCTTCATACCTACTAGAGCTGCTGTGGTGGCTTTGTCAGTGGTTGGCAGTGGCCACCAGCCCTCACCCTGCCACTGGGGCTTGTGCATTGACATCTGGTTGTTGCTGCAGCCCTGAGGGGCACAGGGGCAGGCCACCGCCACCACCTCTCACTGGCCGCTGGGCTCAGGACTGCTCTGCTGTTAGGGAAGCTGCAAGTCCAGCCAGTTGACTGCACCTATTTAAGGAAAAGCACTACTCTGTTACCTGAGAACCTTTGAGATTCCTACTGTGAAGGAAGAATCACATGGAAATGAAAACTTAAGCTTTTAGCTAATAACAGAAAAGTGAACTAGCTTTTGGCCGTTGTCCAAAAGTGTAAAATTCTACTGAAAGAAGACAGCTCAGTACTTCAAACATTGGAGCTGCGCTGTTTGGTAGCCGAGCAGTCTCTGCAGTGCCCGGCAGTGCCCTGAGGCTGCTCAGTGTGGCCCTTTCACTGAGGCCTTGGCCCGCAGCACCAGCCCTGAGAAGGGGTCCCGGCTGTTGACTTCAGGCTCTTTTCTGTTTATAATGTCAGAGTGTTCTCAGAGGGCTTTGAGGAGAAAATAGTGAAGCTTGAAGGATATTGGTGAATCTGTGAAATACTGAATACTTCCTAATCTTAGATTAGGTTTTCTGCATCTTAGATTAGTCTTGAATAGCTATAAGCAAAGGTGCTTGTCTGTTTAAACACTTTAATTATAAAGAGCTAACGGCAGGAGGCACGGGGTTTGGGCGGGTGAGGGGCCTTGCGGAATACAGCTGGTGCCCATCAGCCCCTGCTGGGAATTCAGCCTCTGCTGGGAATTCAGGACTCACTGGTGTAGTTGCTGTAAAAGCTGCCACCTCCAGGAAGACAACTCTGGGTGTTTGTGGTGGGGGTGGTGTAGACAGTGACATTTCCCGTGAGGTTTGGGCAGGAATGTGGGGCCTTGGGAGCGAGGCAGCAGGCGGGCAGGCGGGGACGGGTCCGTGCTCAGAGCCACATCACCCCCCGGCAGCATCCTGAAGCCCACCGAGAACTTGGGCTGAGTGGTGTGGCCCAGCGTGGGAGGCAACTGGCACCACACGTTTCTCCGGTAGCTTCTTTGGCTGTGAAGTGTCCAGGTTAGGGGCTGATCACCACCACTTCATCCGTGGCCCTTTTTCTCCTGTCTTGAGAGGTCAGCGGAACGGTTCCATGGAGCCGCCCTCCCTTCAGCCCAGATGCTCACACCAAGCTTCCTGGTTGTCCTTCTCGTCCTGGCTGTGTTCAGGGTGTTCTTTCTGTGGGGCGTCTCTTCCTTGCTGGGCTGACAGCCCTGGGACAGCAGGGACGCCACACCCCGGGGCACACTGCTAGGGACCCTTGTGTAGTGAGGAGCCAAGAGCAGCTGCTGTGGAAGGAAGGCGATGTTGACTGGGATTACCAGTACAGGTCCTGACAACTGGAAGGTCACAACTAGTATCCAGTGTGCCTGCCTGCCAGGCATCCCTCTGCCCATCCTGAGGTGGTGGTGATGCCACCTGTGAGGCCCCGTCCTGAACTCACCACCGTGTGGGTGTTTGTTTGCAACTCGGCCTCAGAGACCCTGTTCCTCCTGCACAACGGGAAGCAGCAGGCCTGTCTCTTAGGACTGCTGTGAGTCACTGCGATGGCCCAGGAGCCTGCCACGTTCTGAGGTCGTGAGCACAGCACCCGTTGTTGTTACTGGGAGTTCTTAACCTGCTGGGGGCGGGGACTCCCTCTAAGGGCAGCACGCTGAGTACTGGCAGCCTTATTGATCCAGTCCTGCGGCTAGCCCCGACTCTACCTGGGAAGCCACAGGCTTCATTCACAGCGACAGCCGAGAAGGTTTTACTTTTAAATGGCATCAGCAGGTAGGTAAGAGTTGATGACGCTGCTGGCAGGTGAGGGACCGGCTGTGGACTTCCATCCCTGGTTCCACCTGCCCGCCTGGGCCAGGGTCTCTGAGATCTTGGATGTGGGTTTTATCTCCTTGTTGTCAATACCTGGTGCTTTTATCTATCGTCAGTACCCTGTACTTTTACTTCTCTGCTATGTTGACTCCTGAGAACATCAGATTTAACAATGCATTTATTTTAAAAGCCACTTTTTCTTGGCAATCTGTATTTTTTAACACAAGACAATCTGATGTTAGTGCACTGGTGTGGGCGGCCTTTGATGAGGCAAACCCACCTTTTGCTGCCACGTTGCCTCAAGAACACGGGTCATCTGGTGATGCGGACACATTCCCGTTGGAGCTGGAGTGTGTCCCCCTTGCTGCTGTGAAGAAGCACAGTAAGACGTGATAAATGATACATTTTAATAGTTGTGTTTAAATGAAAGAATTTTGGGGTGAATTTTACCTCTGTTCTTAATCTTTCTGGAATGTGTCAAAAAATATTAGAAAAGAATACTGACTATTCACAAAGAAACACGGTGCGTGTATACCTGTGGTGCTTCCTAGATACGCCATCCGCTGTCTCAGCAGCTCCACCTTGGATTGCGGGGAAGCGAGGCAGCAGCTGGAAGCCTGGGGTCCTGCTGGTGCCGTCTCTGAAGCTTCGCCTCTGCCCGTCACGTGCGTGTCCTGCTGTCTGGCTGCGTGCGCGCTTCATGTACCTGCTCACCCTGAGGAGGTGCAGCTTCCATGTGGGCATCATGGGAAAAAAGTCATAATTTACCAAACGGAGGCAGGCACAGCCTGGGGTGGAGTCAGCTCAGAGCAGTCCAGGCACAGAGGAGACCGCCTGCCAGGCAGGAATGTTGCAGTGTCTGGGGCTTTCTACTCCACTGGGTTGAAAGCCTTAGGGGGCGTCAGGTCCGTCGCTTTCCGTCTCAACTTGAGCACGGTGAGCTGAAAATGCACCCCTTGCTGACCCCCGCTCCCTCCCCAGGTGAAGGCCATTGGCCTCCCAGAATGTCAAGCTATTAAATTTAGGCAGTGACTTGGCACAGTGAAAGGCTGGGCTGGGAGGGAGGTAAACAAAACAAAATCAGTTTACTTCCCCCGAGGAAGTAAACTATTTTTGATTGAATTAATATATTTCAGTTCCCTGAAGTGGAAAACTCCAGCTCATACAGCCAGCTGTGTTTGAGGATTCAACTAAACTTTCTGCCAAAAAACCTCAGCTGAGAAATAAAACTAGAAGTGAGCAAAATGAAAACTTATTATTTAGGTTGTTTATGTACTTGTTCTTAGGTTATTAAAAAATAATCTAATTTTTAAACAGTGACAAGTGGCAGGGCTGCCTGACCATGCTGCCTGCCTGTTCCTGTGGGCTTTGGAAGGAGGCTCGGCTGCCTCTGCTGCTGCAGTCGGCTGGGATAGGCTCAGGCGACATCTATGTGAGCTCCTGTTGCTTTTTAGGGAGGGGACAGGTGGAAGGGCTTAGAGCAGCAACACCAGCCTGTGGCCTTGCCCTGCTGGGCCCCAGCAGGCACTGAAACCTGTGTGTGCCACACCCGTCACACACCTGTGCTTTGCCCTTGCCTCCCTTTGGGGCCTTAGCACAGTCCTGCAAGGCTGGCATTGCTGTGCCCATTTTGTAGATGCTGAGTGAGGTCTGAGAGTCCCGCTCTTGAATGCCTGGAATGAGTTTGTTCTGTTGCAGGTGGAATGACAAGTGATGATGGGGGACTGCAGGCTGAGGTGGGGAGGAAGGGCAACCTTGATTCAGTTGTGGCTATGTATGCAGCATTTCCCAGGAATGAGGCAAAGTATCACAGGTGCAGAGAAGCTCACACAGACCACCAGGGACAGCCTGCTCAGGATGGGCAGGCTCGAGGCCAAGGCCACGTCCCGAGTCTGGGCAGGAAAGGGCTGTGCCTGCGCCAGGTCTGAGCCACTGTGAGAGTGTTGGGGCTCCCTTCTGGAAGGCGCCTCCCGCTACCATGACCTCTGGCGTTTCCCTAGGGGGGTCCCCCTCTGGTGTGGGTTTTGGGGTCAGATGCTGAAGTTGGGATCTTTGCACCAAGGCAGACACCTGTTTGGCTCTGAGTTTGTTTTGAAGCTGCTGGGCCCTGATGGGGTTTGGTGCTGTGTGGTTCTGGGGCCTCTGTGTCAAGTCTGGGCCTCCCCTGGCCAGGTGGGTGGCATCCTTTGTAAGGTGTGCGGTGGCCCGAGTACTGTCTCAGGAGGCCATGGCCTATGCCAGCAACATGAGTGCAGCCTGGGCAACTCCCTACTCTGGGCCTCTCTCTACTGATCTGAGCTGTGCTCTGTGGGGTCCACTTGTGGGCCCAGCCTCAGCCTGGCCCGACTGCAACATGTTCTATGAAGTACTCAAAACACGATCAGCTTGAAGGCGCACCCTTCCCAACCCTGGCCTGCTGCTGAGGTCAGGGTCTGAGGTGCTCTCCGTGGAGGAGATGCAGCTTTCAGGCCTGCATCCCAGCTCTGCACGCAGCCCCTGCCACCTCCCTCCCAAATGCCAGGAAGCCACTTTTGTCTCCCTCCATTCTACGTGAAAGCACCTTGCCAAAGCTTCTCTAGTGTTTCAGGGTCTTGGCCCAGGGTGGTGCTTTCACTGGGACATGGTCCCCAGGGTTTGCAGGAGCCAGATTTGGGTCCCCTGCTGCCTCCCAACCCCAGATACCATGGCTGCTTCCTGTGCAGCCACCGCATAACAGCCACCCTCACAGGACACCCACAGGAGACGCCCGCGTGACAGCTGCACTGGCTCCTCCCATGGCTGAGCCCTGGGCCCGGGGAGTAGAAGGCATTGGAAGCAGAAGGGAGACCTGCCCTGGTAGCATGTACCACTGGGGTTCTGAAACGCCCTTCCATTCACAGGAGAAAAGTCAGGGGTGTGGTTGGGGCTGGGCCTTCTGAACTTCAGTTCTTGGATTTCTCATTTTTGTCACACGAGTGCCATCTATTCTGTAACATACTTAATACTCTTTAAAATTGATTAAAGAATTGCTTGCTGAGGAAGCTGGTGGGTGAGGACAGGGTTGGGGATGGTGGGAGGCCCTGTGAAGAGGGGCTTCAGGGCTGGAACTGCCGAACAGCCAGTGGAGGGGGCAAGCCTGGAGAGCGTGGGGCAACTCGTGTGGGAGGTGTTCTCGGGCAGGCTCACCTGCAGCCTCTTAAAGCATGTGCTTTCATAGAATCCTCTTGCAGATCCTGAGGTCCCTGTGCCACCAAGGGTCCAGCTCACCTGGCTGGCTCCTTGGTGCCCTGACCCATTGGGTCCTCTCACCTGTGTGCCACCCCCAAGAGGCTTTTCTTTCTTCTGAAACAGGCCCTCTTCTGTGAACCACTGTCCATTGCGGTCCCCTCCTGTTTGTTTTGTTCATTTTGTTCATTTTCTACTCTTGCTTGTTTCTCCCTTGATGCCATGAAGTCCATTTCTGGGTCTAAATACTGGTTCTCAACCCTAGAGAGGATCAATGTCCGCACATCAACAGGAAGTAGAGCCGGTGGCATTTCTACCTCACCCAGTGAGGACCAGGGAGGTTGTGTGAGGTGAGGCACAGCTCTTGTGGGGGGGGGGGGGCTAGTGTCATACCCCCAATCCTGCCTTCCCTCGAGGCCAAGGCTGGGCCCTGCAGGGCTTTGTCCCATGGGCAGACATTTTCATCAGAATTAGGTGCTATTTTCTTTGTGTGGAGCGTGGATTTGATGGAAGGTCATATAGCTCGGGGAGGTGGGAGCCAAGTCTCTGGACAAAGTGGGAAAACTAGTGGGTTACTGAGTTTTGAAGACATTTCTAGGGCAACAAGGTATCTTTAGGAATTTGGTCCATGGCAGCCTTGGGCAGATATTTAAAAAGACAGGCTTGAACCTGGAATTTGCTTTTAAAGTCTGCCAGCTGCCCAGGGTCATAGGTTCATTTGCCCAGGCTCCTGCACATTCTGATTTTGTCTGTTGGGGCCCAGGACACATGGAGTCTCTGTTCAGTCTCTATCCTTAGAAGGCAGCTTCAAGCCGGGCTGTCAGAGCTGACCGTCAGCACACGATGGATGTCCCCGCTGCCCTGGACCGTCTTCCTGAGATTCTGTGTGCCTGCCCACTCCTCCCAGAGTCTGGAAGTGCACTGCAGCGTGTTCCTCCGGCTCCCAGAATCGGACATCCGTTTCATCTCGGAGGAGCACATCCTGAATAAAAGTTATTCTAATTTTAACAGCAGGAAATGCTAAGCTCAATGGTGAACTAGAAAGGCCGTCTCCCAGCAAAGTCTAATGCACCTTAGGAATGTGTGACAATTTATTTGTTTTTATTAAAAAATTTTCTTTAGAGACAGGGTCTTGCTCTGTCACCCAGGCTGGAATGCAGTGGCACGATCAGGGCTCAGCATAACCTCCAACTCCTGGGCTCAAGTGATCCTCCTGCCTCAGTCTCCCGAAGTGCTGGGTGTAGGCCACTGCGCCCAGCCATTGTGACCATTTAAATAGTGATTTTCCCTCAGTGGCTCTGACACAAGAAGCAGACAGGACAGGATGGGGTGGAGGATCGCGGTCAGAGTTTTACTTTTTTCTCCCTTTAAAGTGTTTTTCATTCCTGAGGCCAGTGGGGTGAAGGAAGAGAAACAAATCACACTTAATCCTCAAATAGTGGTTAATTCTCATAATTAACCGTGTGTATTTTAATTTGGCTTTTTTGGGGTGGGGGGAGGTTGACAATTTCAGTTTTTAAATTTTTTATGATGAAAAAATCTATGCAAAAGTATATAGTACAATGGACACCCATAAACTCAGCTACTGAAATTCAATAATGGTTGTATTTGTCATATTTGCTTTGTGTGTGCATACATATATTTAGTTAACCATTTAAAAGTAAATTACCGACAACATATCACCCCCAAGTACTTCAAGATGTATTTCTTAAAAAAAAAAAAAAAAAGATGCTGTCTGCATAAGTGCAGTATCATTGGCACACCTAACAAAATTAATTTCCTATATCATCTAGTGTGTGTGTGTGTGTGTGTGTGTGCGTGCGCGCGCATGTGTGTGCGCGCCCAATTGTCTGGAAAATTGGAAAATACCTTTTACCTGTTTTTCCCCCAAAACCATGATCATGCATCATATATGGTGGTTCTGTCTCTGAAATCTTCTCATGTTGGAATCAGGAGCCCCCCGTGTCCCTCCCTTCCCTCCCAGCTTTTCCTGAACACACTGTTGTTTGAGGTGTTTAACTCACTCCTCCATCCTTAGCACTTCCTACAAACAAGAAGTTGGATCTAAAGGCTGGGTTAATCCCAGCTGCTGCTTTCTTTCAGGGTAGCTCTTGGGCCCTGTGCACAGCAGGGTCACATGGTGTCTGACATCCACCATTAGTGGTAACATTAGGCTCAGGTGGTAACAACTGGATCTTTAACCTTACTCCCTTTATTCCTTAAGCGTCTCTCAGTTGTGCCCTCTCTATGCTTCTCGAGGGCTGTATCCTGGTACCTCTTCTGCAAGCAGAGAGCCAGGGATGTGGCCCACGACGTGGGACAGGTACCTGCTGTCCTCCCTCTCAGATCCAGAAAAGAGGTCACAGCAGTGAAAATGCAGGTGAGATCATTTGATCCCCCCCCACCCCCGCAAATGTAAGCAGCTTTGTGGTAGGCACTAGCAAACCAATTTCCATGGGAATTAGAAACATGCTAACCACCTTGAGATCAGAAGACACTGTTCTGTTTCCACGCTACAGGGATCCTGTGAGTGTGACTCATGTCACAGCCCATCACCTTCCCCTTGATAGATCCTGAATGGAGGAGGAAGGAGAGGAGAACTTGAAATGAAGGCTGCATTAGTGGACATCGCTCACACAACAGCCAAGACGCTACAGAGCCCCTTGCTTTCCTGAGAGGTAACATGATTGTGTGGCCTTTGGTTATAAAGCTGTGTGAAACTGAGTAAGTCAAACTTAATTCAAACTTAATGCCATTGGAACTTTACTCTGGAGTCTCCAAAAGGGAAGAGGGAAGGAGGAAGGGGTACAAGGGTTGAAAAGCTGAGCACTACGTTCGCTGTCTGGGTGATGAGTTCAAAAGTAACCCAAACCCCACACCATGCAACATATTTATGCAGCAGAGCGGCACATGTGCCCCCTGAAAGTACAATTTAAAAAGCACTCAGAAAACTGTTGTGAGTATTGGAAGGAATGCAGCTATGCAGCTGGAGCCATGACGCATGCAGCTGCAACCTCTGCCTTTCTTTCCCTGTAAACGACCAAATGCACTGGAGACGAGGCCCCTGAGATCACTGCTCCTCACTTGGTGGAGTGCACCATCTGTAATGGGGCAAGTCGCTGTAGCGCACACACTGGTCTGTGGAGAACAGCATGACTCGGACATCTCAGCTCCTGCCTGTGAGCAAAGCCTTAACTTTCCCACTGTGGAACGCTGACCCTGTTGGTGTGGGGCCCATCCCCCAGGTGGCCGTCCTCTGTCTGGAGCTGCACGCCCCGGCCATAGCGAATAATAACTGAGGATTAAACGCCTGAGCTATATTCATTTCCACCCCACACCTTCTCCCTATCTTTGCCTTTTTTCCCCTGTACTAATACCTCATTAAAGATGGCGCTCTTCCTGCTTCTTCACCCACTTTTCCCCGCGCCCGGGGAAAATTGTTACTTAATAGCGCAAGCGCAACATGACGTCAGACCGGAGAAACCGAAACTAACCTGGCCACGCCCTCGGCAATGAGATCATTTCCGCCTTAGCCCAACCCCTTCCCTTCCAAGTGTATATAAGGCAGTGCATTACCGCCATTAAACGAGACTTGATCAGAGCACTGTCTTGTCTCCATTTCTCGTGTCTCTTGTTCCCCAAATTCCCACCCCCTCCTCCAGGGCCTGCTCTGACTATCCCGCGGGCCGGGATAGTCCTCAAGCTGTGTGCTCGAATGCACTCGACACTTCCCTGTATTTTCTGAGCCTCATTTAAGGCTGACAGCTGATTAAGTTGTACCAGCTGTCCATCAGGTAGATCAGAGTCCAGGGCAGTGCCCAACTCTGTGTAGACATGGGGGCCCCAAAGAGGTGCCTGTCTGGGTTATGTACAGAAAAACCGGTTTACTAAATAAGCTGGTGTTTTGAAATGTGACACTTAACTTTTTAGAGGGAAAACATAGTCATTGGGGAGTGACTGCACCTCCGGCTTTCCCCACACGTGGCTATCCTTTCAGCCACGTGTGGCAGTGTGCGCCATCTGCTGGAAGAGCAGGGTTTGGGGAAGGGGTTAACAGATACGGAGCATGAATGGTGCTGAGCCCATAGGAGGGGCATGGGCAGTCCCGAGTGAATGTTACATAGGAGAGCCAGGGTTGATGCGGCTGCGGCCTCGTCTCCTCACACCAGCAGGTGAGTGTTAAAGGCAGGCCTCCTGCTGATGGGCTTGTTTTCTCCTGGCATTTGTGCCTTGGGAACATGATGCTTTCCTTTGTGCCTTTCTCTGACTCAGAGACTGGCTTCATCACCACTGAAGGGCTTGTCACCTTCATGAGGTATTCCATTCTCTGGAGTTTGGTTACTATATCTCCAAGACCTGCTGTTTCTTGGCAAATCTCCATCCACTAGGTTTCTGATTATGTTTGAAGGTTATTATCAACATGCTGGCATCTTTGTCTTTTGGTGACCAACTGTTCCCTTACCAGTGAGCAGTGAGTGGTTTCATCTGTTTCAAGTGTGTCTATCAGTAATGAACAGTGACCACCCCCCACCCCCTCGGTGGCTATCAGTTTGCGTGGATACACTTAAATATTTTTGTATTTTTTGAGACAGGGTCTCACACTGTTGCCCAGGCAGGAGTGCAGTGGCACAACCACAGCTGAGTGCAGCCTCCACCTCTGCCTCCTAAGGAGCTGGGACTATGTTGTGCCACCATGCCTGGCTTTTTTTTTTTTTTTTTTTGGAGAGATGAGGTCTTGCTATATTGCCTAGGCTGGTCTTGAACTCCTGGGCTCAAGCAATCTCTGGCCTCGGCCTCCCCAAGCGCTGGGATTACAGGTGTGAGGGACTGCAACTGGGCCCCATTTAAGTATTCAGAAATTAATGTCTCAGCATGGTTTTTCAGAGTTGCAGGTATTTTCACTTACTGATAAAGGGGTAGAGTTTTAGCTTTTACAACAAGTGATGATATTGATCCCTTTGGCATTATAGAGTTTTAGGAAAATATTTTTTAAAATTAAGATAATTTATTTTCAAGAAAGCTGAACAAATCTGGATGGTGTAGGGGTGACGAAATACCTTTTGAGTTTTGAGAAGTGATTTTTTTTCATTCTTTGGAAACTAGAGTTTTAGAAATCTCTTCTCCCTGGAGACTTTAAAACTGGTGCTATTTAAGACAGAAGGATATGGTGAGAATTTTTATTCTGTAAGAATCTTCAAAGCTCAGCATGAAGATGCACATCTTTCCCTTGGGAATCCAGGTTAGAGAAGTGCAAGAAGGCAGTTCCCTCTGGAGTCTCCTTTCCTGGGAGATGCAGCTCCAGATGGGTGGGTTTCTGGGCAGGAGGGGTGAGGAGGGTGGTGTTTAGTTAACTATTTGGGATCATGTTATGCATCTTCAAAAAGCAATATAAAATATTAGAAAGCTATTTCAAAATAAGGATAATTACCTTGAAGTAATTCTCATAATTCATGGGTAACATTTTTATGTGTGTATTTTGGCTTTTAAAAAAAGCTTTCTACAATGAAAATACATTATTTTTACAATAAAAAGTAACAGGTATAAAAAAGTAATGTTATATAACTTTTAATGGAAAATGTCAAATAGATACAAAAGTATAAATCGGGTTGGCAAGCGAAATACAGGCCAAAATTGGGTCCACCCCCTGTTTTTGCACAGCCCAAATGTTAAGAATGATTTTTACATTTTTAAACAGTGAAAAGAGGTAAAAGGGTAATATCTAATGACATAAGAAAAGTATGTGAAATTCAGATTTTATTGTCCAAAAAGTTTGACTGGAACATAGCCACATGTACTGGTGCGTGGCGTGGCTGCTTCATGCCGCTACCGCAAAGTGGCAAGAGAGCCACATGGCTAGAAAAGCCAACAATATTTACCATCTGCTCCGTTACCGAAAAAGTGTTGAGCCCTGCTTTACACCCCAATGTGTACCTATCCTTGCAGCCTCAAATTACTGGCCAGCCTTGTTTCATGTATAGTTACTCCCAGTCCCACGGATTCAAAGGAAATCCCAGACATCCTATAATTTCATGTTCATGTTGTTGAAATTTAAAAAGTCTGAAAATTCACCAAGAAGATGTAATATATATGCACCAAACATCAGAGCCCCAAAGTATATGAAACAAACATTGACAGAATCAAAGGAAGAAATGGGTAGTTCCATGGTAAGAGTAGGAGACTTCTTTCAGTAACAGCCCACGTTCAGTAATGGATAGGACAACCAGACAGACGATCAGTCGCAAGACAGAACTTGAACAGCATCATAGCAACTGGACCTAACAGACACAACAGCAGTACACACATTTTTCTCAAGTGCAAATGGACCTTTCTCTAGGATAGACAGTATGTTAGACCACAAAACAAGTCAAGAAATTTCAAAAGACTGAAGAAATAAAATACCTTTTCTGGCCACAGTGGGATGAAACTAGAAATCAGTAACTAGATGAAAAACTGTAAAGTACACAATTTTGTGAAAATTAAACAACACTCTCAACCAGCGGATTAATGGGGGAAATCACAAGGGAAATTAGAAAATATCTTGAGATAAATGAAAATTTAAACATAACATACAAAAAACAGGCACAGTGAAAGTGGTAGAAAGGAAATTTATAACTGTAAATACAAATATTAAAAAAATTAAGATCTCAAGTCAACACTAAATTTACATCTGAAAGAACTAGAAAAAGAAGAGCAATCAACCCAAAGCCAGCAGGATGGAGGAAATAATAAAGATTAGAGCAGAGACAAAAATAGAGAACAGAAAAGTAATAGAGGAAAATAAATGAAACCAAGAGTTTGCTGATAACCAAAACTGACTTTTGGCTAAGAGTGACTAAGAAAAACAACTAAAAACCAGAAGGAGGGGACATTACAACTGAGTACTATGAGCAATTATATATCAATGAATTGGATAACCTAGATGAACTGGACAAATTCTTGGAAACACACAGCAGTGTATCAAGACTGAATCATGAAGAAATGGAAAATCTAAACAGACCTATGCTAATCAAGAGAATGAATTAGTAATGAAAAGCCTCCCAACAAAGAAAAGCGCAGGGCCATGTGGAAATTCTACCAAACATCTGAAGAATTAAATCAATTCTCAGACTCTTCCAAAAAACTGAAGAGGAAAGGACACTTCCAAATGTATCCTATGAGGGCAGCATTATTCTGATACCAAAACCAAACAAAGACAAAGACACTACAAGAAAAGAACACCACACATCAGTATTCCTGACCAAGATTTTTTTTTTTTTTTTTATCAGTATTCAACAAAATACGGCCAACACAATTCAGGGGAACATTGAAAGGATTACACATCATGGCCAAGTGAGATTTATAGCTGGTATGCAAAGATGTTTCAACATGCTCAAGTCAATAAATGTAATACATATTACATTAACAGAATGAAAGAAAAAAATGTGATATCAACTGATGCAGAAAAAGCATTTGAGACAATGTCATGCCCTTTCATGATAAAAACTCTCAATAACTGGGAATAGAAGGAAACAAGCTCAAATAGAGGCCATATGAAAATCCCACTGTAAACATCATATTCAATAAGACTGAAAGCATTTACTTGAAGATCAAGAACAAGACAGAAATACCCTGTCTCACCACTTTTATTTAACACAGTACTGGAGTCTTAGAGCAATTAGGCAAGAAAAAGAAATAAAAGGCATCCAGACTGGAAAAGAAGCAGCAAAATTATCTCTGTTTGCAGATGACATGATCTTATATGTAGAAAATCCTAGTGTCTTTGTATAGACAATTTCAGTAACATTGCAGTTTACAAAATCAACACAACAAATCTATGATATTTCTATACAATAACAAGCAACCTCAAAAGGAAATTTAAGAAAATTCCATTTATAATTGTAACAAAAAACTGAAATATTTAGGAATAAACTTGAGGTAAAAGAGTTGTACACTGAAAACCATAAAACATTGCTGAAAGGAAGGTCAACACAAATAAATAGAAAGCAATTCCGTGTTTATGGTTTGGAAGCCTTAATATTAACATGTCCATAGTCTAAAGCAATCTACAGATTTCATGTAATCTCTATCAAAATATCCCAATGGCTTTTTTTTTTCCCATCCTGAAATTCATATGGAATCTCAAGAGACCTCACACAGCCAAAATCATCTTGAAAGGGAACAAAGTAGGAGGTCTCTCACTTCCTTATTTCACAACTTATGACAAAGCTACAATAATCAAAATGGTGTTGTAGTGAAACAGAGTCATATAGACCAATGGAATAGAATAGCAAATCCCTAAATAAACCCTTGCACATATGGGTCAAATGATTTTTGATGGTGGCAAGACCATTCAAGGGAGAAGGGACAGTCTTTTCAACAAATGGTGCTAAACAAGTGGACATTCACATGAAGCTAGATCTACCTCACACCACATATAAAAATTAAAATGGACAAAAGGCCTTAACTAAGAGCTAAAACTAAAACATTTAGGAGAAACATAAGGGAAAATTTTAACAACATTAGATTTGGCAGTGATTTCTTAGATATGACACCAGAGGCACAGATAACTAAAAGAAACACAGAAACAACTTCCGTGCATCAAAGAAGAAAACAGAGTGAAAGGCAATCCACAGAATGGGAGAAAGTATTTGCAAATGATATATTTGAAAAGGGTGAATACCCAGAACATATAAAGACTTCTTACAACTTAACAAAAATGCACACCTGATTGAAAAAAGGACAAAGAGCCCAAATAGACATTTCTCCAAAGAAGACATAGGCCAACAAACAAAAAGATACTCAGCATCACTAGTCATTAGGGAAATGCAAATCAAAATCACAGCAGGATACCACTTCACACTCATTAGAATGACAATGATTAAGAATAGGTGTTGGCAAGGATGTGGTGAAACTGGACTCTTCAGTAGGAATGTAAAATGGTGCAGCCACCATGGAAATCAGTTATGGCAGTTTAAGAAATTAAACACAGAATTGCCATATGATTGAAAGCAGAGGCTCAGATATTTGCACACCCATGTTTACAGCAGCAGTATTCACAATAGCTAAAAGGTGGAAGCAACTTAAGTGTCCATCAACAGATGAGTGCACAAACAAAATGTGGTCTACCCATAGAACAGAGTATCAGCCTTAAAAAGAAATCACGACACATGCCATAACTTGGATGAACCTTGAGGACATTATGCTAAGTGAAATAAGAGAGTCACAAGAGGACAAATCTCTTCTGATTCCACTCATACGAGGTCCTTACAGTAGTCAAATTCAAAAAGACAAAGAAGAACAGAGGCTGTCAGGGGCTGGTGGATGGGGAATAGGGAGTTGGTGCTTAATGGGTACAGAGCTTCAGTTTTACAAGATGACAGAAGTTCATCTTGTAAACTTGAACTTGTGGATACATGGTAGAGAAGGCTGCACGGTATGAATGTATTTAATGCTACTAAATTGCGTACTTAAAATGGATAAGATGGTAAATTTCATGTGTATTTTAATACATCAAATTCTTTCAAATGACATTAGAATTGACTACATAGGTAGATAATAAAAGCCAACTTGCCTTCATCTGTGCAACTTTCTCAAATGATTATCAAATAAAAATGAAATTTCCACACAAAAACGAGACAGTTGAGGTGTCTCTCCTATTTGACACAGATGCCCTCATTTTTTTTGCTCTCCCTTACTTAAACAGGAAGAACAAGAGCATTTCAAAGGAACCCTATCCTCAGTGAACCCTGGTTACGGTCCAAGACCCCTGTGGCACCAGCAGTGCCTTCTCCTGCTTGTCCCTCCAGCTCGTACTCTGGGCATCTCTGTTCTTTGTCACTCTGTGGACTTGAGCCAGTGAGGATTGGAAGGGAGAGGACCAAGTACAAAAAGAACAACTAGGAGGGTTAACAGCCTCTCCTAGGCATTTGCGTGAAAAGCAATGGCAGATCCACGTGGCCTGTATTGGGGCAGATGCCCTGGGGAGCGACTCCTTCATCTCACAGATGCTGAGGGTGGGAATGGCAGCAGCCATGCACTGCCTGAGTTTACAGAGGACTGCTGGGGGTGCGTGTGTAGGTGCCACGTTACCACCTAGAACACACTGTCTCACGCTGTGAGCCAGGGCTTTTTAGGCACACAGTGATGCAGTTCCTGCTGGAATTCTGGAGGCAGAGGCTACACCTGAGCAGCTCCTACCAGCTCAGTGGCATTGAGCCCATGGGATGCGGGGGGACACTGCTTTCCAAAGTTGAGAGTCTGCTTCCTCTATGCAGAAACAACAGGTAGGGACAAGGAGTGGGGCTTAAGTGAAGACAAAAGCAGCAATTCTGTTGAGATAGACATGGGTGCAGGGAGGTTGAGAGCAGGGTGGATGCTGGTGTCAGCCATCAGAAGGCCCCAATGGCTGGTGCTGGTTAGTCATGTATGCAGGTCCTTATTTTTCCTCCTACCTGTTGCTAATCCCTTGGCTTTGTCATTGGGTAGCATTCGATATTGCACTAGATAGGGACTAAAGGGAGGTGAGTGGTGTCCATCACGTGCACACATCATAATGAAGAGAGGGAGATTAAAAAGTCAAGTTTCATAAGCCAAGCTCACTTCTGACTTTTTTCAGAGGGCAGCACCCTTTCCTTTTGATAATTCTGAAGATAAGCAGAACAGACTAGGTTTCATAGTCCATTTATCTACTAGGTTAGGCCTTCGCAATGAAAAGAAAAACCATTACAAGGCATTGCCAGAGAAAATGGTCTTATCCTCTTAAAGGATAATAAAACAAATGAATTTCCAAAAGGGGAGATAAATTGAAGCTTCTCAGTGACTTCAAATCTTATGTGGAGTTCTCTCCAACATTTAAAGAAGAGTTAACAAGAAACCACCACAAACACTTCCAAAACACAGAAGAGGGAACACTTTCTAAGCTTATCCTATGAGATAGACACCAAAACCCAAGAGATCACAAGGTGGTGGGTGGCAGGTGGGGTGGGGGGGTCTTGGAACCCATCCCCTGTGGATACAGAGGGCTGGCTGTTCCAACACACCAAATCCAACAGCTATGTATAAACGGTATCATAAACCATGACTTAGTGGGCTTTGGCCCAAGAATGCAAGGTTGGTTTAAGATACAGAAATCAGTCAATGTAATAAACAGCACATTGATCTTATGAAGGCTAAAAACCACATTATCTTCTCAAGAGATGCAGAAAAAGCATTTGACAAAATCCTTCACACCCTTTCATGATAAAAACAAACTAGGAATAGAAGGGAACTTCCCCAACCTGACAGAGGGTATCTATGGAAAACCCAGGGTTAACATCATAGTTAATGGTGAGACTGAAAGCTTTCCCCTAAGAGGAGGAACAAGACAAGGATGTTTACCCTTGCACTGCTATTCAGTATTGTACTAGAGATTCTAACCAGCGAAGTGGGGCAAGAAAGAAGAATAAAGGACATCTAGGCTGAAAGGAAGAAGTGAAACTGTCTATTCACAGATGACATGATTTTGTACATAGCATCAGGAATCTACAAAGGTGTTAACAGAACTGATAAATCTTATATGACAGTTTGGTTCTAAAAGCAGCATTTAAGGCAAAAATTGTTCACAGATCATTAATTTTTTTTCATAAAGTAGACACAGTTTGCTGTGTACAGCCCTGTACAGGACACACACACAGTGCATACAGAGATCCTGTACATCACGCAGTAAACCATGACAGCTACAACTTGGTCTGCTCCTGAGAGGCTACTGCATGCCTTTCCAATTTGTGTGTATTCATAAATTAGGTGAGGAATGTGACTTTCTGACTCTCAAAATAGGCAAAAGGAAGTTGTAACTGGGTGTCAACAGACACCAGCCCTGAGTGAGCAGCGCAGACTGGGAACAGGTCCGAGAATGACTGGAGATTCTATCTTGAGAGTGTCTGGCATTGCCTTTTGCAGGAACAATGGGTGAGTGAAACTTACTGCCTGGCTTTAGGCTCTTGGTGTCCTAAATTATCGACTTCACTGCAATGAAGGCATCAGAATGTAATTTAATCTCACAGGAGTGGCATCTCTACTTTTGGAAGGCCCCGTGAGAGAAACTGTATTCAAAAATACCATTCCAATGTGGAGATTTATGATTCCTCTTCTCATCTCTGTTTGGTGTTATCTGATCTTCTGTAAGTGCCTCAAAATTGTCTTTATTCTGTCTTTATACCCTCCATTAACCTTTCAATCTCTCCCCAGCAATGTAAAACCATCCCTGCTTACCTGCCCAGCTCCCACAACTTGTTCCTCGAACGCACCTGCAGAAGGCTGTGACTCATGCACTGGCAGTGCGGCTAGCTGTGTCCATGGCCTGTGGAAATATGCCAGCCCAGCAGAACAGCTGGAATCCTACACTATTAATATGGTTGTTTTCCAGGCAAGTACTGCGCAATTTATACAAGTTAAATGCACGTATCTGTGATTCGATAGCACAGCTGAGAACTGTTATAATGTCTAACAATTAAATGACAGTAATAGTATATGACAAATTAGGGGAAAGAACCACAACTTCAAAAGGATAGTTTCCTTCTAAGAAGAAACTAATATGAAAAAAGACTAACATCCCCCCCCGACAAAAAACAGGCAAATAACACATTAAGTAACACATTACTTTTTGGTAAGTAATTTACCAAAAACAAGAAAAGCAAATGGACAATAAATATATGGAAATATTCAAGCTCACAATTTATCATACATCAAATTCTTCACTTATTAAAACAGCACCAACAGAAAAAGAAATACCTGTGCTTCAGGGATAATGGAAACTCCACGTACTTACTCCCTTTCCTAGATTAAAACAATTTCTTTTTTCAGCTGGACGCGGTGGCTCATGCCTGTAATCCCAGTACTTTGGGAAGCTGAGGCAGGTGGATTGCTTGAGCTCAGGAGTTTGATACCAGCCTGGGCAACATGGTGAAACCCCATCTCTACTAAAAATACAAAAAAACAGCTGAGCATGGTGGTACATGTCTGTGGTCCTGACTACTTGGGAGGCTGAGGTGGGAGGATCACTTGAGCCTGGGGGACAGAGGTTGCAGTGAGCCGAGATCATACCACTGCACTCCAGCCTGGATGACAGAGCAAGACCCTGTCTCAAAAACTCCAAAAAAATTTTTTTCATAAACAATCTAGAAATATATTTAAAAGCCTTAAAATATGTTTGACTCATGATGTTTGACTCATGATGTTGACTACTGGTTTATTGTAAGGAGACGGCCACATTGTTATGTGTGATGATGCTAATCACAGTTATTGATGCTAACAGCGAGACACTCGGGAACCCCAGGATGCTGTGATGATAAAGCCTGTTCCATCTGGGTGATTCTACGGAGCTAATAAAAACCAAGTTTCCAAATAACATTTAGGATATGGTTCTGTTTCTAAAAAAGGTGGGGTGGAGGGGTTGTGAAATAACAGTGGGATACAGGACATTTATGGTTTTATGAAAAACTAACATATATTCATGGAGGCCCCAGGTATTTGCATCACCTCAGGAGAAACTATAATTTGACAAATAAATGCATTCTTGGCCATTTGTGTCAGTTCACAGAAGTGGGGCTGAAAAATCCAGAATCTCTTTTTAGTCCTATTTATAAAAGCTATAAAAGTATAATTTTATTATGCTTAGAGGAAAAAAAAAGTAGAAATGATTTTCTTGGGTTCCTTGACCCTATTCGAAAATGGAAATATACAACAATGCATTTCTATCCTATGCCTGCTGAGGGGATTTTTCATATTCTTTTCAGCATGCACAATAATCTTTGGGTGGTGGGACTGATTTTCTAATTTTCTAAAATGGACATGCGTTATTTTAAAAAGAAAGCAATCTTTTAAGGATTTAAATATCAAAATCACTAACAACATTTCTCAGTAGGATGCAAAACTGATGGTTTGTATCAATAGATAAACATCATTTATTACTTTGTCTATTAAAGTAGTTTCAACACAACTGAAATTCAGACTGCACTGGGCTGTTGCCATCACAGTCCGGGATTATGCACAGACCAGCCCACACCCCGAGCAGGGGTACCCTTGCCAGAACCTGTGCTGGATGCCTTAGGACCACAGAGACCACTGCCCGTTGTTGGGCTGTGTGTGCACAATTCATACCCCGACCCATAAGCCCTAAGACAAGAATGGCTATCATTGCCCTGGGTTCACTTTCTATTCAAAGAGGACTCATCTGGGCACAGCCAATGTAGTAGTTAAAATGCATTTTGAGAAAAAATAAATATTCTGTACAATGTATTTACAAGGATCAACTGTTTTGTCACCCACCCCCAATTAGTATAAAATTGGGAAACTGTAATTTGACAGTTAAGAAGCATATTATTGGCTGTTAGTGTCAGGTTAACAAAGAATGTGGAGCTGACCACCTGAAACATTTTTGAACTATATATATATAATATGCAAAATTTCACATTTTAATATGCTTAGAAGAAGAGTTTAAAGTAGAAATGATTTCCTTGGCCTCTGACCTTCAATGATGAAAATGCAACCATGCACTCCCCCTGTGCAGAAGGGCAGTTCTTCCCAGGCTTTCTGGAAGCGGGGCCTCCCAGGAGCCTCCACCCACCTCATAGAACACTCACTATGAGCCCTGCACAGACAGCATGATGCACAATCTCCAACAGGGATGGCAGGGGCAACTCTTAAAACTTGAAGAGGTCGATGAAGTGCTGCGGAGACACAGGCGTGAAGCAGCTGTCGGGGTCGGCCGCCGTGCAGGGGTGTCCTGAGTCCTGTGGGGAGGTGGGAGATGGTTAGGAGGGGGCCACCACCAGCCACACTCTAGTGATGGTGGTTGGGGGGTCGTCAGCTGCTTGTTGACATGGACCCTGGGCCCCACCTCAGAGGTACATGAGAGAGAACTTGGATGAGAATGATCAACACAAGGGCAGCCGCAGCCGATTCTACGCAGAGGTTTTCCATGGAACTCCTGCTCAGGTAGGGCAGGAGACGGCGGCCCCAGGTCAGCCCTCCAGTGCCGAATCTGGTATTGAGTCAGAGGAGCCAGCTGCTGACACCACCCTGCATTGCCCGGGAATCTACAAGGCCACAGAAGAAACCACTGGGGACTTTCTGTCCTCTGGTCCCAGCCATTCCTTTGTCCTGTCCTGTTCCTGGTGCACTTTGGCGCACAGGGTTCCCTCCACCCACCATTCATCCCTCAATCAGCCTGGGCTCCCTGCACAGGACAGGAGCGTGGGGACACATGGCCTCAGCCCCTGAGGCTCCTGCTTGCTCCAAGGGAGCTGGCCATGCTCACATACCTAAGGATCCAGAATTTTATTTAATATGAGAAGCGACAAAAGAAAAATTAATTTTGTGGATGAAGGCTGGCAGAATCTTAGGAGGAACGTAGGTAGACGGGACCAGAGGCCTTGGGGTCAGTGCTGGGTCTCTCCATGGCATGCCCTGGCAGTGCTGCCAACCCAGGTGCTGTGTGGTGAAGTGTTTATGGGCACGTCTAGCATCCTCCCTCAGCACTCAGGTGTTGTTCTGCGAAATATTTCATGAACACTCTCGTCCTTGCTGAGGTGATCAAAGTGGCCACTCAGCCCTGCTCAGGGTCCTGAGAAAGCTCAAGTCAGCGAGAGCTGGAATCGAGCTGGGCAGTGACCAGGATGACGTGCACGAGATGCAGCACAATGCAACGTTTTCATCCTGAACACGGGATGTGTGGCAAGTCAGGGAAGTACCTTGAATAGTAAAGCAAGGTGGTAGTCCTTTGAGATCATGAAGAAAGAATCAGGAAGGAATGCAGTGAAGGGAGGGAAAAAAAGGAAAAGATTAGAAAGAGCCAGACTGTAAGCATTCAGGTTTGATTCATATTATTAACGAAAATAACTAAAAACATCAGGTAACTAAATTTGGACAGTACAAGGTTATTTAAAGCAAGCAAACAAGGCATCATCAGATAACCCAAATTCCCAAACTACTTGAAGACAGTCTTAAGACAACATATCTTTACCTTTAAGTCTTTCAAATTGGCAACTAATGAGGCTGCCGTGCTAAATAACCTTCAAAATTATTCACTGAAAAAGAGATGCTATTTCCATGTGCAGTTTATATTAAAATTTGTAAGTTTTTTGGGGGAAAGTTCTGTTATTTAATGTCCAAAGGGTCTGCTCTGTGCTAAATAAGGCAAATTAAGTCAATTCCACACTTTAAGCCAGCCCCCACCTCTGACACTTGTTTCTTCAGACCAGTGGGTGTCACTTTCCAACACAAACCCAAGCCTCAGCTGCTGCCCTCCTGTGCTGTCCTCCCCCGCTGGTTCAGGCCGCACCAGCGAAGCGGTTCCCCCGCAAGACCAGGAACACCAGACCATGGAGACCTCATCTTAGATTCTGGCTCCAACTTTGCTCCTGATGTCCACACAGGACTGTGGGGTCAATGTCAGGTATCCAGACCTCTATTCTGGCAACTGATACACCAAGAAAAAATAGGACATAAAAATGCCAAACGGCTCATCCTGGCTTCCCTGACCCAGCCGACAAGTCTACAGTTTTTAACTGAGGTTTTGTACAGCCAGGAGATAACGCCACCCCTCTCAGTGACCCTGAGTGCAGGGTGCACCAGTGTACCCTCCGAGGGCCATCGAAGTCAGTCTTTGGCTCCAGAGCTGAACTCAGCCCAGTTACTTAAAGACTGCGTGAAAGGCTAAGGCAGGTAGAAAAGTTAAAAAAGAACTCCAATATAGTAGAGCCGGAACAGATGGGAAACCAGCTTGGGAGCAGATGAAGCAGCTCCACAGCACTGCTGACTGGAGAGCTCCAGGCTTATGTACTGTGGGAAATGATAAAACACCAGATGCCGACCTGAGACAGATGCACCGTGGTGTCGGCTCATGACCAAGTCCCAGGGCCAGGTAAGAATTTACCGTCACCAACACCCAGTCTCATTTTCTTACTAGCTTTGATATTACTTGAGTTTCTCAGTCAACACAAACTCCTGGGATGCTAAACAAACAAAAAACAAGCAGTAACCCTAACCCTAAGTGCCATTTTCTGAGTACCAGCTATGTGCCAGGTTTCCAGGTGCAGGACTGTTGGACATTCACAGCTCCTCTGTGTGATAGTTCATGGCGTCAAACCAAGGCCCTAGGAGGGCAGCAAGCTCAGGAGACCCTGGAGGCAGGTCCAGGTCTGCCTGACTCCAATCTGGGTTTGGCCTACCAGGCCACTCACCTCCAGTTAGCCACACTGATGGAGCAGATGGGAGACAGGGCAAGAAGTACCTGACACCTTCAGGGGTTAAATTAGGAGGGATGGCTCTTTTTGAATACTTCCATGCATGGATTCAGAACTAAAAACGTGGACTGCCTTGTTGAATGATACTCAGTGGGAGAAGCTGTGATGGGGCCATTCACTGTAGCTGCAGTGAAGTGGACATCACAGCCTCCAGGGCAAGACATGAACCTCCCAGAACTAAGAGATGGGCAGCTGTCTTTGCTAGGAGAGACTTGTTCTCAATTTTCATGACTTGATCAAGTATGATAAGGTTCACTAAATACAAGAATGGCAAAGCAAATTCTTTTGGAAGGCTACATCATCTCTCAATTTTAAAAAATCAGAACTTACATATTTCAGGAAACTAAGGCAGCACATTCTTATACACATGGAGCACCTGTAATCCAAAAATCTGAGATGCTCCAAAATCCAAACCTTTTGAGCACTGACATGATGCCACAGTGGAAAACTGCACATTAACAAGTACATAAAATTACTAAAACATTGTATGAAATTATCTTCAAGCTCTGTGTAAATGAAACAGATGAAAAAAATCTGAAATCGGAAACACTTCAAGTCCCAGGCATTTCAGATAAGGGAGATTGATCTGTACGGCCCAACAATGCAGAAGCGAAGGAGTGTTTTTCTTTGTTAGTTGCTTAGCAGACGGGGAGAGCTCCAATATTCATAAATGTTGTTCTAAGAAAAACACTATCACATACAAAACTGAAAGCCTTCTACCTCTTCTATGAATGGTATTTTTCCCCATAAAAATATCGTTGCTTTTAATAGTTCTATAGTACAAAACAATCTGCTTAGGAGAAAAAAGAAAAGTAACTCTTAGGAGAAGCACTAACTCAACTTAGAAATTACAGTATTGTGTCCACTCTTACTCTGTGACTGAAGACACAGCCACATGTTTTCAGTGTTAATATTTCAGAGAAGAACAGGTGTCAGTCCTAGAAGGAACTACACAGAAGGGGGGCCCTGTTCCCTCCAGGGTCAGGTGTCAAAGCTGGGTGAGAACCTGGACTTCACTCAGTTGACCCCTTTCCTTCAGTCCACAAGCATCTGCCTGTGGCTTCTACTGCAGACAACTCACCCCCATATTGTGCTTTTTGTGCCATGTAACTGGGGAGAAAAGAATAGAATGAGGGCTCTCTCCTGTATAACCTAATCTTACTGATGAACTGATTCGCTGACCTCACCAAGTTGAGAATAAACTGGAATCAAGATGTTCCCTGCTCTTGAGGGATAATATTCTACAAGACAGTTGTACTACTGCAGAAACACATAACACAACTTGCATCTTTTTAATTTCAGGAAAGACAGAAGTCATACCAAAATATTAAAAATCAGAAAATCTCATATTCATGTATGATGCTGTTTACCTTTGACATACCAAACAAAACTATTAAAATAATACAAGAAAAACACATCTTTACATTCTTTGCTCAATCATGGATTAATTTTTAAAGCCACACTTAGAATAAATGTAATTTGAAATGAAAAGCAGTTGTCTCTTTCCAACAGCCTAGAGCTTGCCTTATGACCTATCTGATAACAAATTTAGATAAATGTAAAGCAAAGGTAAAATCACAACAGGTTACGGTGTCTATCAGGCAAAAGCCTCATCTCCCTAGACCTAGAGAAGGCAAGAGGCAGAGACAGCCCACTCCTGCAAGAGGCAGGGCCTCATCTAGACCAGGGACAGTCAGGGGTTCCCTCCGCAGAGCAGCCGGCAGCTCAGCAGGGTCACTCCAGGACCAGCTTCTGCCTAGTTTCAACACTTTTTTTCCCCCATGGTGAAATCTCACAACATCAAACATGTTCAAATGCAAGGCAGACCATGGAAACGTACTCCAGGGTGAAATAATATTAACATGTTAAGAAAGAAGTGGATAATAGCCGGGTGCCATGGCTCATGCCTGTAATCCCAGCACTTTGGAAAGCTGGGGCAGACAGATTGCTTGAGCTTGGGAGTTTTGAGACCAGCCATGGGTAACACGGTGAAACCCCATTTCTAACAAAAAAAAAAACAGACAACAACAACAAAAAAATCAGCTGGGCATGGTGGCTCACCCCTGTGGTCCCAGCTACTCAGGAGGCTGAGGTGGGAGGATCACTTGAGCCCAGAAGTTGGGGCTGAAGTGAGCCATAACTGTGTCACTGCACCCAGAACTGCGTGGGTGTCAGAGCAAGACACTGCTTCAAAAAAACAAAAAAAAGAAGTGAATTAGTTGGGCATGGTAGCACCTGCCTGTAGTCCCAGTTACTCGAGAGGCAGGAGGTAGAGGCTGCAGTGGGCCGTGGTGATGCCACTGCACTCCAGCCTGGGTGACAGAGCGAGACCCTATCTCAAAAAATAAAAAAGAAAAAAAAAAAAAAGAAACAAGCAGTTATCTCTGACTGTGAAAAACATTCTTTTCAGACATACAGTCTGGATGGTGAGAACAGGAAGTAACTGGATGAAGGGAAGAAACTTGCAGATAAGTAACAATAGTCTTGTTAAGTTCTGATCATATGAATGAGAAAAATGCAGATTTTAAAATCTGGGACTTCTCTATGGATGCTTTTTCTCTAAGAATATGGCTTTGAGAAATGAAGCCTAAGCTGGTCCTGGCCCTACACAGATGGTGGGGACATAAAGGGCCAAGGGCTAAGTCTGGGGAAACGAGGAAGGTGCACTTGTCCTCAGATGGGCAGAGGGGTCACACTGCAGCCTTCAACCTCAGGCTGGGGGTCAGCAGGGAACCTGGAGTTGCTGCCAGGAAAAGCCAGTGGCCGCAGTCCACCTGCGATGCCCTCCTACATGCTAACTTCTGCAAAAAGGAGAAGCGTTTTGGTTTGCAGCATTTCTGGTTTAAGCCCAAGATGAATGAACATCTATTCCCCTACCCCAATATTTGGTAAAATATAGCTCCTTAACTTACTTGTAACAGTACTTTCTACTTTTTAGTCTTACACTTAGAATATAAGTGATTAGTTTGTTTCACCAAATTTTAATCCGGAAATTCCAAGAGTGTATTTAAATCAGTACCTTCCAAAAGAGAATGCTGCAGTGCCGACAGAAATGCAGCGTGTCTCCGTACTGCTCCTTCGCTGGGTAATGTTTCTGAAGTGCAAAGTACATCAACTTCCATTCAATATGACCTTTTTCTGAAAGGATCAAATGTCTACAAAACTAAACAAACAAAACCCCATTCAGAATCAGCATAAGATGACTTTCAAAGCATAATATTAGGTGTAAAACTTTTTCATTTTATTTTAGTTTTTAATTTTTTTTAACTTCAATAGCTTTAGCGGTACAGGTGGGTTTTGGTTACATGGATGAACCGTACAGTGCTGAAGTGTGGGATTTTCGTGCTCCCATCACTGCAGAAGTAAGCATTGACCCACCATGTAGTGTTTCATCCCTCACCCTCCTACCCTTCCCTCTTCTGAGTCTCTACTGTGTATTCTACCGCTCTGAATGCCTTTGTGTACCCATGGCTTAGCTCCTACTTATAAGTGAGAACATAAGGTATTTGGTTTTCCATTCCTAAGTTATTTTACTTAGAATAATGGCCTCCAGTTCTATCTGAAATTATTTTTCAAAGGCACTGTAGTACATAAAACAATTATTTGAAATTAAACTCACTTGGATTAAATCAATGAGTGACAAATCAAATAAATTATGCTATACCTGTATAATGGAATACCAAGCAGCTGTTAAACAGACTTAAATATTCCAATCCAGAATCATGTCCATAATATATTAAATTAAAATAAGCTACACACATATTTGATAATGGACTTATATCTAGAATACATAAAGAACACTTAAAACTCAATAATAAAAAGACAAATAACCCAATTTAAAAAAATGGGCAAAGGACTTGCAAAGACATTTATCTAAAGAAGTCACAGAAATGGATGATAACCTCATGAAAAGATGCTCAGAATCCAGTCATCAGGGAAATGGAATGAGACCCACTTCATGCCCACTAGAATGGCTTTAATCAAAAAGTGAAATAATGAGCAGCATTGGGGAGGGGTGGCGAATCGAGAGACCTCACACTGCTGGGGGAATGTGAAATGGCGCAGCCACTTTGCAAAACAATCTGGCAATTCCTCAAAAAGTTAAACAGAATCCACCATATGACTCAGTCATTCTACTCCTAGGTTTATAACCAAGAGAAATGAAAACATGCATCTACACACAAACTCGAACATGTTCAAGGCAGCATTATTTGTAAAAGCCACAAACTTTTATCAAACAAACTAAATGTCAATCACCTGATGAATGGATAAACAAAATGTGGATACAGAGAGTAGGATATTATTCAATCTTGAATGAAGCTCTGATTTATTCTACAACATGGAGTCGTAAGGACATCATGCAAAGGGTAAGAAGCCAGTCACAAGACAACAAATGCCATAGATTCTTCTTGTATTACACGTCCAGAACAGGGAAACACAGAGGCAGAAAGACAATCAGGGGTTGCTTAGGGCTGGGAATGGTAGCTGAAGGGCAGAGTTTTTTTTGTTTTTTTGTTTTGTTTCCTGAGGTGATGCTGATGTTTTAGCTGTGTCCCCCGCCAAATCTTGAACTGTAGTTCCCATAATTCCCATGTGCCGTGGGAGGGAGCCGGTGGGAGGTAACTGAACCATGGGGGCAGGTCTTTTCCATGCTGTTCTTGTGATAGTGAGTAAGTCTCACCAGACCTGATGGTTTTGTAAAGGGCAGTTCCCCTGCACACGCTCTCTTGCCTGCCGCCCTGTAAGATGTGGCTTTGCTCCTCCTTTGCCTTCCACCAGCATTGTGAGGCCTCCCCAGCCATGTCAAACTGTGAGTCTTTAAAAATTACCCAGTCTCGGATATGTCTTTTATTGGCAGTGGAGAATGGACTAATACAGATGTCAGTATCCTAACACTGACTGTAGTGATGGCTGATAAAGTGGAGGGTATCTTAATAAAGGTGTTACCAAAAACATCAGTGTTACAGAGTGACCTTCAATTACAGTTTTGAAAACGACCAGTGCACAGCTAGATAAATTAATGTGTATGTTTGAGTGCACATGAAAGCCTGAAATGAAACAAAATGCATGGGCTAAAGGAGTAACAGGGATGCCTTGGGGTGGGGGCCTTTAACTTGTTTGCACAACACTGTACTAGTCTTTAAGGCTGTTGCTGCAATGAGCATGTTTTACTTTTCATAGCTAAAAACAATCACTTGTATAACATACTCATACTTCAGTCATGGCTTTTGAGGACTCTGGAAATTATCATGGAGTCAATGAGGAAATCCTGTTTCTAATAAAATTTGAAAAGAAGACTACTTGCAAAATAAAAAGTAGTAGTTATCAGCCTGTTTATATTTAGTATTAATTTCTGTGTCCTCTAGGCAGGCACTGTTAAAACATTAGTTCCCAGAGACTAAAAACAACCATTTGTTGTCTCATTTCTACTTCTTACGAATTCTGTGCTATACCAGTGTTCACGGGGAGAATCCCCTCCCATGGTTTTTCTCCTAAATAATGATCTGTGATTTTTCTGAACTCAAATGCAACATCCCACCAGATGCTCCAGTCAAGAGCATTTAGCTGACTTTTCCTTCCATACTATCTTGAACCAGTCCGGTTTTCTCAGGTATCTAGTTTTTATTTTGGGGATGCTTCCTTATCTATGCTTTCTCATAAAAGCTATTTCTGATATGCTTTTTTTTTTTTTCAGGGCCTTAATGTTAGTTACTGATGCCTGAAGAACAGATCATTATTTTCTGATGCTGTGTTTTTATGATTCAGATAAGAAAATGTGTACAAATGAGATGCACCTGCAGGTGCTAATTGCAACTTAACTATTCTAGGATATCAGTGCAGAACAGACGTTTAACTTATTTAAAGCAACTCTTTTAAGAATGGCAATGACCACAGAAATGGCCAAAAGACATCCTTAAGTATGTTTAGGGTCTGGATGTATAAACACCTGCCAGGCACTCTCATTAACGCCTTTTGGGAACAGCTCGGGCCTGCACGTGATAGGGAGTGTCCCAGGGCAAACTGGGAGGCAGAGGGTTCATCCCAGATGACCTTCATTTACCTCTTTTCCTAGGATCTAAATCCTCCCCACAAAAGTCTATTCACCCCCTCCCCCATGCCCAGTGCTGACTTAAAATTCGATCCACTGATTTCTCCTACTCAAATTAATATTGGAATTCTTTTGCTTCTCCCGAACAACTCCACTTGAGACCGTTCTCCCCAAGGTATCCATAACCTCTGCTCAGCGAAATCTCACAGGCTTTTCTTTGTCCTATTAATCTCTCTGTCCATGGCTTTGAGGGTCCAGCTCCCCCCAGGTTCTGAGGCACTTCATCTATCACTCAGCATTGGGGTTGGTGCCCTCACGCCCTGCTCAGGCTGATCCCATTGCCTCCTGTCCTCTCCATATGCATCTGTCCAGGCCCTCGCTCCACATGCCTCTCAGACACACTCCATGAGGCCCGTGTTCAGGCCAGCCCCTTCCTGTGGGAGCCCCCATCCCATCCCATCCCATCCCATCCCATCCCATCCCATCCCATCCCATCAGGGTCATCTTCTGATGTCTTCCCTGTTGCCCTCGTGCACTTCCTGGCCCATAACTCTTATTTTCCTGAGGCAGGATCCTGATGGATCCTCTTGTATCCACTCCAGCCTAGTCCTCAAACAAGAACAGAAGCTCTTCTGAAAGCTGCAATTCCATGTGCTTTGCTGGCTCCCCTGAGCTCACAGGACACAGACAAAGATTCTTCATGTGGCTTGGCCTCTGCTGTGCTTCCTCACCATCCACCACTCACACACACAGCACCCTCCCCATGGTAGGGTCCTGCTCTCTGCCTAGGCCCTGTCCACTGCCCTGCACTCCAAGGGTAGACTGTGCTCCTCATGAAAGGCACCCAGTCCCATCCTAGGTCTTCACAGTGCTGACCACAGTTCCAATCCCACCCCATGAGGGGCACAACGCGCCTCCCTCCAGCCACCTGCCTTCCCTGGCTGCGCCCAGCCCCAGGCAGAGCAGGTGCCTTGGACATCTGTGGGGTGATGAGGGGAACCCCCAGTTTCTGCAGAGGCCCAGGAACAGGGACCACAAGGTCTCATCGTGGATGCGGAATGAGCAGACCACCCTGGAAAGGCCTCGAGCACTGACAGCAGAACACACCTTATGCTGCCCCACGTGCAATCCCACGTGCAGCAGGCAAAAGGCAGTGGCGGGGCGCGCTGTGGACACTCAGGAGTGCCATCTACCAAGTGCTGAGAGCACTGAGGCACACAGAGGGCGCCTGACTTTTCAAAGATGTGCAGCTTGGTCAAAAGCAGAACTGGAATCTGATTCATCAAATCAGGAGAAAAGGCAGTCAGTGAGCCAGGGACTCTACGCACCTCGTTATCAACGGGAGAGAAAAGAACTCAGCTCATGCTTTGCTGTTCAGTTTTGGGTTATTTTAGAATCATGGTTCTTTTTCAACAGGAAAAATAAACCTTACATTCTGTAGGAGAGAAACCACAGCAATCTCAATAAATTCTGATTGTTCCTGGTTCTTTCAAAGTGGAAAACACTCAGCCATTCTTTCTCTTCAGGTGAGTTTATAGGGTATGGCCCCTAGGCAGAGTCTACTAAACTCCCTGCCTGAGGGGACACTGCTGCATCCCACTCACCTGCTTTTCAGCAAAATGGTACTGACACAGCTTCTTCCACAGTTGTCTGTCTTCACTGAGCATATACAGCGTGGGGGTCACCTGGCCTAAGGTGATGATGTCCCATCCGTCTGAGAACCGGTACAGGATGTTGTTCAGCATGTGCAGAGGAAGGTCACTGAGGGTGAGGCCATTGTTCACTTGCTGAAAGGAAAACACAACAGCATCTCACTGAGAAGATGGCCAGTGTTTGTTCACACAGTAACTGAAGAGTCAAGCTGGAATGAATGCTTCAAAACATGGCAACACAAAAGGAGCTCTCCAGGTCATGCATTGCAAGGCATCAAGGGGCCTGCATCCACCACCCTGGGGAGGGCTGGAGGAGGAGGGCAGGGGAGGGCTGCACAGCAGGCCAGAACCAGGCTGTTCCTGGGTGAGGCCCCACTGCTGCACCTCCCCATGCGCCACGTGTCTATCAGCATCAGGAGGTCAGTACTCCTCTACGGCATCGAGACACACCTGGAGAAGAGCAGGGTCTGCAGACGTGGCACTGCTGCCCAGATGAATCCAACGCACCACGAGGGCAACATGACACCCATCACCAGCAGGGGGCACGGCCTGCGCCACACCGTCTGGGTGGCCTGGACAGCCCCTGGGCCTTGATGGGTCACAGCTGGTCACCCCAGTGATGAGGGAGGTTGACCACATCATCTGCAAAGCCCCTTCTAGCTTTGTGGGTTTTTTCCCTTTATTGAGGTGTAAGTGATAAATGGACTCTGTCTATACTGGCAGCACGTGGTGTTCTGTGCTTGTATGCGTTATGAACCAATGGCCATAGCCCAGCTCGCTGTCTGTCACCTCAAGTCATAATCCTTTTATTTTTGTAGTGAGAACATTTAAGACCTACTCTTAGCAAATCTGAAGTGAAGGATGTATAATTATTAACTGCAGTCATCATGCTGTGTAGACAACCTCTAGAGTGGACTCCTCCTGCACTACAGAAACCTTTCACCCTCCGTCCAACATCCCCCAACCTTCCAGCTTTACATTTCTATGACTTCAAGTTTACAAACCATTTCTCCCTCACGCACACCAGAGAGTAAATGCAGGGCATCTGCCCTCAGAAGATACACGTGTGTGCACGTGCCAGGCTGAGGAAGGGTGGCTGTCCCTGGCCCCGAGAAGTGGGCTCAGTCAGTTCAAAAATTAAACTGCTCTGAGGTTGACCTGAGAAAGCCCTGGGTTGAGTGCATACTGTTTCAGACTTTTCAGGCCTCAGTTGTATCTAAATGATTCCCTTCATTCTCACTAGAAGCACCTCTTCCTGACAGTGGGGTTCTGGCTGTTTGGGCGGGACAGAGGCTACCTGGTCCCGCCTCGGTTCCTGACCTCAGTCTGCTCACCCGCGAGCTTCTGATTTGTATTTTTCTTTTGTTCCCAATAGGTTGATATATGTACTTGGCCACAGGGAGAGCTAGCTTCCTTCTGATGTGTTGTGCCCTTCTATATTCCTGCTGCACACAAAGCACAGTGACCATCTGTTTTTGGCTAGAATGAGCTAATTCCATGAGTTTGGTTCTTGAAATTGCCTGACCTCTGTGGACAGTGGAGTGTAGGGAGAGGTGACTGGGGCACCCGTGCCTTGACACCCCATTTTCTTCTCCTGCTCCCCTATAATGCCCTCGCGATGGAAGCAACTTCCTAGGACTTCAGAATGGAAACTGCTGCAGGGCGCTTCTCCTGCATCCCTGTGGGCAGCATGAGGATGGACCACCAGTGATGCACTCTAAGCCGCCTTCACCTCATCAAGCACACTATGCATCTGCCAGACACGAGTGGGGCCTCAACACTGCTTGACAGTTTGTGAAGTGCTCTAACATTCTGGACATAATCATGAAGCTTTTATGGACTGCACCACTGCACCGTGTTGTAGGCTACGGAGCTGCACAGTCCAAGAGACATCACTTCCCCAGCAGCCAGCATGGTGCCGGCAGGCTCTCAGCAAACGTCTGTGTTCATTCATTACTGATGAGTCTGACACATTTGATTCAAGTCTTAGCCTATCCTTCCATCTTTATTGTCTAGCATATGGCAGAGAGCACATAGAAAAGAGAAAATGGCCAGGCTGGGTGGCTCACACCTATAATCCCAGCAACACAGGAGACTGAGGTGGGAGGATCACCTGAGCCCAGGAGTTAAAGCCTGCAGTGAGCTATGATTGAACCACTGCCCTCCAGCCTGGGAGACAGAGCAAAACCCCATCTCAAAAACAAAAACAAAACAAAACAAAACGATAACGTGCATGTAAATTAATCCCCAACTAAAAGTCTAACACTCTTACAAGAATTATGTCTTCCAGGTGCTTCATTCTAATTCCTATTGAGAAAAATTTCTGTAGCAGACAGGAGTTTACAAATATTCTGCTGCTAAAATTACAAAGTTTAAAGGGAGTATGAAGTGGTGGTATGAAGGTAGTACAAAGAAAAAAAATCCTGGATTAGTAGTTATAGAGTCTGGTGTGACAACTCGGCATTTGGGATTTCTGGCAGAGTCCAGTTTTACAGCCCTGTTAATGGCTATAACAAGAGGGTGTAGCAGAAATGCCAGCACTTCTCATCCAAACGAAATCTCGAAATGTGACAAGGCACAAAAGTCTTGCTGAACATGTCAGAAATCCTGCTGCGTTTTTTGCCACACCTCCTCCACTGATTAGCTACATGCTCTCTGCCATTATGAAATCTCTCACACCTACACCGCAATGAAAGGAAGAAACGATGCTGCTGTCTGCTTCTCTTGCTTCAGGATAGTCTCAGCTATTGCATGCGACTGTTAACAATTCCCGTTTCTCTGTGGAAGCACTTCTGCTAACAAGAAACTTGTGTTGCTATTATCATTCTATTTTACACAGAAAAAAAAAAGAGATACAGATGAGTTGACTGGCTTGCCCAAGGTCGGGGTCTAGCTTCAATCAGGGTTCAGCCTCGAGCCCAGTCTGCCTGGTCCCAAGTCTGTGTTCCCAACTGCTCTGCCCTTCTCCACGGGAGGCCCATCCCCTCACTATGTGGTGAGTAACTGAAGTCTCCCTCAATTCTTCTTTCCCTCGCACCCACTTCAAAGTCACCAGTCTAGTCTTTTGCTGAAGTATCCCCAAGTTCATCCTTCCCATTTAACTGTCATTCCTCATGAATGCAGTGAGGGTTTGCTTCCCTCCAACCTGGCTGGTCCCTGCCTGGCACTGAAGGGGTACCTCTAAACATGGACCTTTCAGTGACCCTTGGCAGAGAGCAGCAAACACTCTGCAATGCCCATAAAGCCCTGAGTCTGATCCTAATGCCCTGCACCTTCTTCCCAGCAGTACACACGTTTGGCACACCACACTCTATCAGCCCCTAGACGCAGAAGTTCCCACACCTTCTCACAGCAGCCAGCTCTGCAACTTCTGGGAATTTTGTTAGCCAGTTTACTTTTCGTTGGCGGCTTGAAGTCAGTCATAGTGGGAAAGTGACAAATGCTACAAATCAAACCTCTTGCCTCTGGAGAGCCAGTTGTTAAGCACTGACCAACAGGCCACCACCTGGACAATTTCCCCTCATTTTTTTTTTTTTTTTTTTTTTTGAGATGGAGTCTCGCTCTGTCGCCCAGGCTGGAGTGCAACGGTGTGATCTCCATTCACTGCAACCTCCGCCTTCTGGGTTCAAGCGATTCTCCTGCCTCAGCCTCCCAAGTAGCTGGGACTACAGGTGCCCGCCACCACGCCTGGCTAATTTTTTGTATTTTTAGTAGGGACGGGGTTTCACTGTGTTAGCCAGGATGGTCTCTATCTCCTGACCTTGTGATCTGCCCGCCTTGGCCTCCCAAAGTGCTGGGACTACTGGTGTGAGCCACCACACCCAGCCCATTCTTTAAGCTCCACCTAAAACATCACATCACTAGTGAACCAATGTAATGTCAACAGCCCTGTGTGCATATCTGTTATAACCCACTGAGTTCTGTGACTCACCGTGGGCTCATCTCCCTGGGCCCTCGGACGCCCCACGCTAAAGGCCACGCCTGCTGATCCATGTGTCCCACCTCCGAGGGGCCTAGCAAGCACATGGGGGCATCCAGGAAGTGCTGACTGGGTGAGGAAGCATATGAACGCGTTCCTGTGTGTCCACTCTGACTGAGTCACAGAGATGTGCACATGAAAGCACTTCCAGTTCATCAGCACTGCCGTATCTTCAAATGCAGCTTCAACAGCAAAGTATATTTGTTTTTCAATAAAAAAATGTCTGATGTTCTTAGGAACTTTTCAACATAATATATACTAAATTTCTGCTTACTTTTGGGACTATGAGAATTTAGATTTAAGGGGTGTCGAGGTATTTCTTTTCTGAGATGGAGTTTCACCCTCGTTGCCCACACTGGAGTGCAATGGCACGATCTCGGCTCACTGCAACCTCCACCTCCCAGGTTCAAGCAATTCTCCTGCCTCAGCCTCCCGAGTAGCTGGGACTACAGGTGCCTGCCACCACGCCCGGCTACTTTTTGTATTTTTAGTAGAGACAGGGTTTCACCACGTTGGCCAGGCTGGTCTCCAACTCCTGACCTCAGGCAATCCACCCGCCTTGGCCTCCCAGAGTGGCTGGGATTACAGGTGTGGGCCACTGCGCCTGGCCAGGGGTGTCAAGGTATTTCTTGTTGGGATAATCTAGAAGACAAAGACGACTGTCAGCGCACTGGAGAAAGCTGGTCCCTGTATCCTGTGAGGCTGACATGGCGGAACTTTAGGCGGTGTGCTTGAAGTTCCACTGTCAGGGATCCGGGAAGGCTCTCAGCTGCTCTGTTCTAACCCCATCTGCTCGAGTCACCTCAAAATTCACATGAATAAGTGTGAGGTAGCAATCCAGCATCAGCCAGCGGGTCAGGAGACCAGATCTTTACCTTAAGCAGCCTCAGACCAATTTGGCTGACTGAGTCCAGCATCCACAAATGCAGCTCAGTTAACTGAGTTGGTAAAGTGCTCTTTCTACTGGTTTCAAGTAACATTCCCAGAGAGGTAAAACTCCTCTGGCCAACTCCTACAAGGGAACCTGACCCTCCTCGAGGCTGGAAGCAGGGCACAGGGTCCAGAAGCCAAGATCCTCACAGAGGCACATGCCATGTTTCCTGCTTCAGAGAGCACTCAGGGACTGAGGTGAAGAGATGCCAGGCAGCATGCAACCACTAATGAAACAAAAGAAACCAGTTCAAGGTCTTTGATGGTAAGATTTGAGTGGACATGACGAAAACTGGCACCTTTGTGTTATCGGTGCTTTCTTATTCCTCAAAGATAAATCATTAATTTCATTCTTGTGCCTTATTTTTCCCACTTGATCAACATGGTACTACCCTAACACCTAACCTTCTGTGCTGAGGCAGAGAGGTACTGCCATGGGAGTGTGCTCTGCCTACCAGGGCTGTGGGAACCATCCCAGGCCAAAAGCAGAGTGTCTTCCTTCACAGGCTATGGGCAGCCCTGAGTGAGCCAAGCTGGGGCCACATGCACTTCTGTTATCCCTCAGCCCGTGCCTCTTCCCAGGTAGTATGAACGGAAAGAAGATCCAGAAGGAAGCTCAGCATACAGCTGTGCCTTCCTGCTCTGTCTCAGCCCACCCAGTCAAAGATGCAAGCTTCTCCCTTGCTTTCTCCTTTCTCTCCTCTTGGTGAGGTGTGGCCCAATCCTTGGAGCTTTGTTGTTGTCTCCACTGGTCCACATCTCCCCACTGGCTCCCCATCTCTCTCCAAAGAATGGAGAGTCACTAATCCCACCTGGAACTTCCCAGCCAGACCAGAAAGGCTGCTTCCTGGCCTTTCCCGAACACCCCCATCCTTGGGATCCTGACCATGAAAACCCACCATGGACAAGGACACACCCTGTTCTCTCCCCGAGAAGGTCACTCGCTGGACATCACTACCATGGATCTATCTCATCAGGAGAAGGTCACCCGCTGGACATCACTACCATGGATCTATCTCATCAGGAGAAAGTCACCCGCTGGACATCACTACCAGGAATCTATCTCATCAGGAGAAGGTCACCCGCTGGACATCACTACCAGGGATCTATCTCATCAGGAGAAGGTCACCCGCTGGACATCACTACCAGGGATCTATCTCATCAGGAGAAGGTCACCCGCTGGACATCACTACCAGGGATCTATCTCATCAGGAGAAGGTCACCCGCTGGACATCACTACCAGGGATCTATCTCATCAGGAGAAGGTCACCCGCTGGACATCACTACCAGGGATCTATCTCATCAGGAGAAGGTCACCCGCTGGACATCACTACCAGGGATCTATCTCATCAGGAGAAAGTCACCCGCTGGACATCACTACCAGGGATCTATCTCATCAGGAGAAAGGGGACTTTGGCCATGTGACCTGGTCACTCATGTCAGGACTTCTACAGCAAGCCTGTGCCACGCGTGTCTTACAGGCGGACTTTTAGTACAACTCACCTATGCATGGGGTAACGCAGTAAAAGAGGCAGCCAAGAGCCAGCCTGTGCAACGCTCTGAACGACTACAGGGTCACACCAAGACAACCCAGCAGGGTCCAACGTTTATAACAAACTTGCTTAACTCTTACCGACGCTGAATGTTACATTACTAATGATAATTTCAGACTCAAAACTAGGCAATCATCACTCTTTCTGTAAGTCCCATATTTAGATGGCAAATAAACAGCCAAAAGTTAAGGCATTTGAAGGGCACTTGAAAACCATTCCTTTATGTGGAACCTGGGGTGCTATGATAAAAGGTTAACTATGACCCTACCAGTACAATCTGCAGAATCATTTATACCACTAAGGCTACATAAGTCACACCACTAAGATACATCTTCAGTTTATTCTTTTTCTTATTAGTACTAGAGTTAAATAAAACACTATGTAAATACCTGGGGCAATGGTGTTAACATTTTTCTTGTTGAAACTAGTTACCAGAATTAAGAAAAAATATCAAACACAACTGATGTGATTTGCACCTTCTTTTGGCCTTGTTCATTGTTGCCAAGAACTATAAACACATCCCCAAAAAAGACAGCAAGGAAGAAGACAAAAAATTACTAACTTGGGAGAAGCAACAACTAAATAAATAGAGAATTACTGGCAATACAATTTAGCCTTAATTTACTGAATGTTATTCTAATAACTGAAATATTCAATTTCCCATGAAGGTAAATCTGTTTACATCTAATCACCCACAGGATCAGCCTGGTTTAATGATTGCTATTCCCACTGCCTTTCCAATAGCAATTATAAGCCATTAGGGGTCTTTGGTCCTTTTCTATTTTAAAACGATTTAATGAATACGTATGAAAGCATCAGAAAATCTTTCAAAAAGCTATAGCAGTCTTTCATGTATGCTTAGAAAAGATAACAACTTTTGTAATACAAAGAGTGTAGTAACTCTTATGCCGATATATTTATACCTTAGTCATCTGAAGATCCTGTAGCTGTTGTTGCCAGGCGAGAATAGTTTCTAATCGGCAAATCCAAATATTGATGTTTCCCACTAATACAGACTTCCCTACTCCTCTAATAAGAATGCAGAGGGTAGAGCTTAGGTCTTGCAGAAGATCTTTGATTAAGCGAGGATTGTGGTGGTCATCAAGAACTGGAATAAATAAAAATAAAACTATGTATTGACACAGTTAAGCAACACTTTAAAAAACAATCCGGTTTCACAACCCAAATGTCCACCGATAGATGAACAAACAACGTGTGATCTATACATGAATGGAATATTATTAAGTCTAAAACAGGAGGGAAATTCTGACACACAGTCAGCATGGATGAACCCTGAAGACATTATGCAAAGTGAAATAAGCTAGTTACAAAAGGACAAATATATAACTCCACTTATATGAGGCACCTAGAGTAGTCCAATTCATAGAGACAGAAAGTAGAATGATAATTACCAGGGGCTGGCAGGGAGGAGGAATGGGGCCTCAGTGTTTAAGGAGACAAGAGTTTCATTTTGGGACAATGAAGAGGTTCTGGAGATGAATGGTTGTGATGGGTGCCCAATAATATACACGTACTTATGCCACTGAACTGGATGCTTAAAAACTGCTAAAATGGTAAATTTTATGTTATGTGTATTTTAGCACAATAAAAAAGATGTAATTTCACTGCAACCGAAAAGTGACATCATTTTTGAGATATCACAAATATAATGAGATTTTTCAAAACTTTAAAATTTTATCTGATAAATTTTCAGTTGGGTCTACAATTTTGCCTTTAAAATGGTCAGTTTATACTTTCTTTTGTACTTATCATAAAGTGGCTACTTTAAAGTGGCTTAAATATGGAGTCATATATTCCTATGTATGTATAAAGTCATGGTGTAAAATTTAAAATTCCACTTACTAACAGCCAGTAACTTACCAAGGCAAGCTCATTAAATTAAAAAGAAAATTACTGGCTTATCTGATGCCTAAGTGAGTAAGTCACAATCCTGCTAATTTTGGAAGCATACATCTAAAATGAACTGTGATTAGCTAACCATGAAAAGGTAAAACAGCTTTTTAAGTTCTGGGATTAGTTATTTTTCCTAGTATATTGCTTTGTATGCAAAAGCAACTTTAAAAAAGTAAACAGCAGTAACAGAACACTGGGAACTAGAGGGATGACCTGTATTTCTGATGTTATCACATTATTTACACAACTGTTTTTGACAGCATGTGTACTAGGTAAAGATAAAAGAAAAATCCCATCTCGTTGCACCAAATTTCTAATTAAGATTTAGAGTATTAAAAATACAGTGACCATCTTACCCTTTTGAACGATTTTATCCAAAATGTTGAAGTAATTCTTTTGTGCCACACCACTCAATGAAGTTAACTGGGATTTTGCAATTAGCTGCAATAGCTTAAAGGAAAGACAAAAAAAAAGCTGAGCAACATATAAATCTATTTAATATGGAATTACAAACCACGGCGATATAACACACATGCATGAAGATTTCTAACATGCCATCCTAAATTAAGCCACTGTATCAGAGTCCGGGTACAGGAAACAGTCACTACCCATGCAAACCTGAAGAGACCTTCGTACAAGGGAGCTGAGGCAGCCGCGGCCTGCAACTCTGTCTTCTAGTCTTGTAGGCATTCATTTACTTAGTGGAAGCATATCTCCTCCCAGAGCCCAGGCTGCAAGAGTCTGAAACGGAGCTTTTAGCTTTCCAGTCTCTGTACCACAAGGGCATACCAGAAAGAGGCTAGAATGAATGGTTGGGCACTAACAAATATTTTCACAGCCTAAGCCCATACTCGCAGTTGTTTGCTGAACAGACAATCAGAAAATCAAACAGCCCTTCCATGTAGAAATTAAAAAGGAAAAACATCACCAAACTCATTATTAAATAGCATTTTGTATTTAAAAACTCATTATTAAATAGCAAATAAATTGCATTAAAATAAAATACTGTAGAATTTGTATTCTAGGAAGCCACAGTAACAAATCCCTGTGACAGAACCTGTGAAGTAGAGGTCTCCTGTGGGAATGACAAGCAAGGCCCTCGCCGCTGCTCTGCTTGCCCTCCTGGGATGCTCTGCTCTTCCAGTTGCCCCTACTCTGATGTGCATTATGGCAGGAAAACGTAGGCTGCTGCTTTCCTTTAATGCTTTTTGTCCCACTTTATTTTTTATTTTTGCCTAATACATCTTTTCATTCTTGTATTTTCAACTTTTGTAAATCACTGTTTTAGGTGTGCTTCTTACATACAACTTCGAGTTGGGTTTCACTTTTTGATCCAATCTGAAATCTTTTACCAGCCTTCAGGTTATGTGTATAAGGTTATGTGTTTACATGTATAGACACAACGTGTTTGGTCTTAACTTTATGACATGTTTTTGTAGCTTTTTTTGAAAAAGTTTTCATTCTCTCTGTAGTTCTTCTGAAACTTAGAAATGCTTGCACTATTTTGTCCTAGGGGTTACTTTTGGAATTTTAGCTCTACATAATTCCCTCTCCTTTGGAATCCTCATACAACACATCTTCGCGTTGTTAGTTTCCTGTTCCACATTGTGATAAAACTGCCATTCATCTTGCTCCCTCCTTCCATCCCTCTCCTGTACAACTTGATTTTCGTGAACGACATCTTAGTGCCTCCCTGTGATTACAGGTGAGACAGTCAACAAATCTCTAACCACCGACCTTTTCTCCTCTGCCCTCCGCTCACACTGCTCCACCACCCTCAGCCACACAGCTGATGCTGTAGAGATTCACTGACATCCAGTCTGATGGACGTTGTTTCTCCAGCCAAAAATGCTCATGAGAACAGTAAGTATTCCCTGAGTTCTCACATGATCAATACTGTTTGTTTGCAGCCTGGCAACCAGACAGTTTGACTGGACATAAAATTTATGGGCCATCCTTTCTTCCTGGAGGATCCCATAAGTAAGGATGACTCCACTATCTGAAGAATTTGGAGAAATTTGAAGCCACCCTGATCTCTTCCCTTGGTAAGAGATGACACGTTGTTTACCCATTGGGAGGTTCTTGCCTCATCTTCAGAGTTTAATAATTCCTGTAGGATGTGGCACACTCATGACCTGTTCTCAGTCAACCTTCCCCAGCATAAAATTTGCCCTCTCACAATGTACGCTTCCATCTATTTTTACCTGAGCAGAATTTTCCTGAACATTATCTTTAAATATTTGTTCTGTCCTTTTGTTTTGTTTTCCTGCTTGAAGATTCCAATGATAAATACGCTGGAACCCCTCTCCCTGTTCTCTACAGCTGTAATTTTCTTTCTAGTTCCTCTTAAACTCATGATTATGGTTTCATTCTTATTAATTTTCTCATTCGTACTATTTCCATCACCTTTTTTTGTGTTTCCCAAAACATCTGTTTTCTCCTGGGCCCTTCCAATCCCACCTTCGCCTCTGTGGTGGTTCTCCCGGCAGATGCCATCCTTCCTTCTGCCAACTTGGCTTTGTCTCCTGCTGTCTCACTTGGTTATACAGGTTGAGCATCCCTAATTCCAAAATCCAGAATCCTCCAAACTCTGGAACTTTTTGAGCACTGACAAGTGGAAAATTCCATACTTGACCTCAGGTGATGGGCTGCACAAAATTATTAAAAATACTACATAAAATTACCTTCAGGTTATGTATATAAGGTGTATGTGAAACATACATGAATTCCAAATTTAGACTTGTATCCCAGCCCCAAGATATCTCATAATGTATACGTAAACATTCCAAAATCTGAAAATATCCAAAATCGAAAACACTTCCAGTTCTAAGCATTTGGGATATGGGATACTCAACCTCATTAAAATCTCTTTTCTGTTTTGTGGCATTCCTGCACTGGGATCTTCTGCTACAGAACTGCTTCGTGAGTTTCCTGTTTTTTTTTTTTATTCATGATTAACTGTCTGGTCATGATTCCATCCTGCTTCGCAGACACATTTCCCACAATTTCCTTAGAGAATATCCGTGCAGTGACATCACCTTCTTCTCTAACAGGCATTTCAGAGTGAGGTGGGACTTCCTAGGGTGTCGGTTTTGCAGAGGCCCTCAGGGTAGGGGGAACGGCAGCTTTCAGCCTTCCCAGTTCCAGTACTCTGTCCCCCAGCTGCTACCTGCATGTACGTGAATCCCTGGGTGATCCCACAGCCCATGTCTCTGAGTAAAACTGGATCTGGGAAGCCCTTTGCTGTCAGTGGTCCTCCCTGGAACTTCTGCACTCTGCAAGCTGGAGTTGAACATCTGTGACTCAGGCTCTCAGTGCACAGGGCCTGTGGGGCTCATCTTCTAGACTGGGCCCTGACAAGTGCTTTTGTTAGCCTGAGCCCTTCTGCTCAGTTCTGCCTATACTATCACTGCCCAAGCTTAGCTACTTTTGGTAAGCTTCATGCACATTTTAGAGTCTGTGAATTGCATCTGCCTCTTACTTCTCTGAAAATGGAGTTTTTCATCCCTTCCTTCCAATTCTTCCAGCCTTTCTTGATTTCCAGAATGAGCAATCACTAAGTCGTATGCTCAGTCCCAAATAACATTATAAACGTGACAATTACATGATAATCTTTGGGGGAAAAACATTCTGTGATTTCTAACATATTTACATAAAAATATCTTACACTAAAATACACCAGTTGAGGGCACTGGCCAGAGATAAGATCAGGTTACGCCAAGCAAAGCTGAGAAGACCATTGTTAAAATTTCAATCCTGTTCCTTTATCTTTTCAAATTAACTGAATGTTGTTATTGAATTTCTTCCTTGTTTTAATGTTGAATAGCACCCCTTTTCCCTGCCTCACTTTAGAATCAATTTAGAGACAAAGGATTCAGGCCAACTGAGGTTATCAGCATTATTGCTCATAATAGCTGGACTGGCGGATGCGATTCAGATTCACACAGCAATGGATTTCCTAATCTGAATCCTAGACTGAGATGATGCCAGCAAGCCCTAAGCATTGCTTAATAACCAAAGCCTCCCCAGATAGGCTTCTTGCCCTACAACACTGAAGACATGAAAGAAACAGACCAAAATGTACAAGTATCTTTTATTCCTCAAAGGAAAAAAGAAGAGTTACACGTGTCTGTTTCTCACCAAGGGGTCAGGGCAGAGGGAGTCTGGGAGAGACAGTTCTACCACCACGGTTCCCAAAGCATCGTCTAGGGGCCTCTTAAGGGAGCCCAAGGTCTAAACTATTTCCACAGTTTCACTAAGATAGGATTTTCCTTTTCTACCCTGACATTCATTAGTGTGCAGTGAAGTGCTCCAGAGGCCTCAAGATGCTACCTTACAGAAGACTGAACTCAGGAGCAGAGATGAGGAATAATCCCCTCCATCACATCAGACACCAGGAGGGTGTGCCAAGGTGTGAGATAGTCCTGTTTTTTTTTTTGTTGTTGTTTTTTTTTAAGACGGAGTTTCACTCTTGTCTCCTAGGCTGGAGTGCAATGGCACGATCTCGGCTTACTGAACCTCTGCTTCCTGGGTTCAAGCGATTCTCCAGCCTCAGCTTCCCAAGTAGCTGGGATTACAGGTGCGTGCCACCACGCCAGGCTAATTTCTGTATTTTCAGTAGAGACAGGTTTCACCATGTTGGCCAGGCTGGTCTCAAACTCCTGATCTCAGGTGATCCGCCCACCTCGGCCTCCCAAAGGCTGGGATTACAAGCGTGAGCCACTGCACCCAGCCCAATCGTTACTTTTAAATAAATGCAGAAATATTTTACAAATTGTTTTAATTTCTAATGTGGCAAACATTGATAGATATAACTCACATGACCCAAATCTCTTTGGGGTCCTCAGTAATTTTAAAAAGTGAAAAGGACCCTTGAGACATTTGGTTTTGGAACTGCTGCTCCACTAGGGGAGGAAATACCAGGAACAGAGAATACGTGTCCCCTGGGAGATAAGCCTCCCCGACCACCTCCCCTCCCATCATCGAAGTACGTTTTCTACATTTCTCTAATATCATGTTTTAAAATTCCTTTTAAAAAGACTGCACTCATCAGCAGAAGGCATGGGATTAGCCTTCTGATCCTTTAGAAGCACGGTCAGTTTAGACTAGTTATACACACAGGACTACAAAATGGACACCACCAGGCATACGTAAGCATAGAGGTGAGAAGGGCCGTGGTGTTCATAGTTGAAAAGATTGCATTTCCGGTTAAAATGGTAATTAAGATAACAGGGCAAAAGACATCATCATTCACAAGCCTCTAATTAGCTATAAAGCAAAGTCTGTTGGGAATTTAATGAATATTTGTTAAAAACACAAATACTGTAGGAAGTTTTTTATACAGTCATGGGTCGCTTAACAAGGGGGTTACAATCTGAGAAACGCATCGTTGGTAATTTCGTCACTGTGTGAACATCACAGAGTGTATTACACAACACCTATACAGCTAG